CGTTGACCCTGGCCATTGACCGAGCAACCCAACGTTCCTACCAGCTCCCTCCACATGAATGTGTTAGTTATACCACCTGGCAGGCTTTCGCGGATGTGCTGTGTTCAGCTCTCCGACTGTGATGTCGTGTTGCACCACGTATCGTTCGGCACTATGTCCGACGTTACGCTCAACGCGCTGGAGGCTTCTTCGCGGAATGAATTATTACGCAGCTGCTCAGTCGAAGAAAGAGTTCTACATTACGAGCAGAGCGTGGGCGCGCGTTTTGTCCCCAGTTGACTCGAGCGGGCTTGCTGCCCGGTCGGGAACATCATCATAATAATAATAAACACATCGAATGTTTTTATACCGCTTTGGCAATGGTGCACAAGCAATAACACCCAAAGCGCAACTTTGTACAAACCTGAAATCTTTACAGATGCACTTTTCAAACTACACATTACACACATTATTTGCTGATCCCGCTGCGTTGGCGCAAGCACACTTGTCAACAACACTTTCTTAAAATATCTATAACATCTGCGACGTTTCGGGCAATGGCCCTTTCTTCACGGCACATATCTTGCGCACCAAAAAAATAATGCCTATAGCCAAATCACCCGCAATGCGACGAACTTGTCAGATCTCGCGAGCTAAGCAGGTCTGAGCCTGGATACAACAGAGATTGCGGGGCTGCATGGTGGGACAGTGGTTGGGTGGGCTGGGTGTTCGGCAAATCCAATCGTTGTGTTCCGTACTTTGTCAGCTACCACGTCTACAACTTCCTGCCTTCAGCGTCCCGCGCCGACCAAGCGTGATGAATCATGGTGTTTTATTTCCTACATAAGTGGCGTACCAAGCGCTCGCCAAACTGCGAAATGTTGTGAGATGTAAACTATCAGACGTGTAGTCATCGCTGACGACTGCCCAATATCAGCCACGCTGTGCTCTGATGGAACAATAGGCGACTCAATTAGCCTAGCACCCCGAATGCCGCTGAATATTTTTACAAAATAATAATTAAAACTACAATGACGGTAATTTCAACCTGTTCCTTTTTTTTTCTCAAACGCCACACGAAAGTGTATCCCGTCATTTCTCGCACCTCCGATTAGTACGGTTGGCTACGTACGGTGCGAAAGAAGTTCAACGTACATACATGACTACTGACACGTCTTGAGGAGACCTTCATCCAGCAGTGGATTGATAACAAAAGGGCCGTGGTGCCATGCACGGCGGAATAACCTTGGCACATCCATGAAAGCTGAAATGCACGAACGGAAAATAGCGGTGCCCGCAGCGTGTCGAGCCCACTATCCACCTGAAACTCTGAAAGCCGAATGCGCTCATTACGTTACATAATTTAATTAGGTGACAAATGGGCAATACATCGAATTTGCAGCTGCGTGCAAAACTGCAAGGAGTTGAATGGCGCAATGCACTCCATGCGCCGCACTGGCTCCAAACTTAAAATGCTATGCAGACGAAGAAAATGAATGTGCTGAGTCGTAAGAACTCTGCGTACGGGTGCTTCCAAACAAAGAGCCCGTGTTGTCGGCATCTGGACAGCCTGGACAAATAGCGGGCGCGTGAGGAATGTGGCCGCAGGGACAGCTGATGCTACTGATTGGTATTCCTCCAACTTTTGCGTCGAATTGGAAATCAACCGGTCCCAAAACCTCCCCCAGCCCCCCCCCCCTCCTCCAATCGCCAACCACATCCCCACTTAACCAGACCCCCCCCCCCTCCTCACGTGAATACCCCCCCCCCCCCCCCACACGAGGAGATGAGTCTCCGCCAGCTCTCTCGCCTTGTGACAGTCCGGATAATGCGACGGGGTTCAACACACACACACACACACCACACACACACCACACACACACACACCACACACACACACACACCACACACACACCACACACACACACACCACACCACACACACACACACCACACATACCACACACACCATCCACACCACACATACCACACACACCATCCACACACACACACACCACACACACACCACACACACCACACACACACCACACACACCCACACACACACCACCCACACCACCCACACACACACCACACATACACCACACACACACACACACACACCACACACACACCACACACACCACACACACACAAAACACATCCAAACCTCAGTGGCAAGAAGGCTGTAGTGAAGGATGTAAATACGGCACGCTAATTGACGGTGCCTTTGTCAATCCACTGCTCGATTTCTGACGGTTCGAAGTCGGTTTTTTTGTTTGGGTGGAGCGGCGGTGCAGTGGCTAGTGTGATGCCCTTTCGAACCACGTCCACCTGAGTTTGACTTTCGGCCAGAGAGAGAGAGAGAGGTATCTTCTCCAATCGGAGTGAGGTATGGTCAAACGACTCCCCATGACCGACTCGGCGTTCATCCAGCAGTGGGTTGACAAAGGTCTGGAGTTTTTGTATTTAGCTAAACCAAAGGTCGGCAGCCTAAAGCCCCGGAGCCGCATGCGGCTCTTTAAGGACCACTTCACGATAGTCGCCAAGTAGAACAAAACCTCCAAATTATTTTCGATAAACGATGAACGTCCGAAAGCCCAACAATGATTTGTAAATGTGGTATTACAAATCATTGTGCGTGTGCTGTTCTTAAAATAGTGAGTACAGGCTTGACGGTATTCATCAAGTACCCGTCTCGTGTTCACGTGCCATTGCGGCTCTCGAAATATTTCGGGTTTTTTGACCGAATTCGAAGAAAATCGCTCCTTTTGTAATTTTGATTGCCAACCCCCAGAGCTGAACTTATGACACAAGGTCACGATGGGCTCGTATCAGCTGGCCACAGACATTACCTTCACATAGTTTACACGGCGCCTTGACCGAGGCGCTTTACGGATAATAAACAATGCTACGTATGAATATACGGTGATAAACGGTTCTTCTTCTGGAAGACTTTGCAGTTTTTTCCTGGCTTTTTCTGTTGCGCGTAGTCACTTTAAGATGTTTCTTGTTCATGTTTTTGTTTGTTGCGGTTGCACCCGATTCAAGAGCCGCATGGCTCACAGGGCTATACCTAATCAATGAAACTGAAAACTGAAACTGAGAGGTGAATGAAATAGACGAGAGGAAGCAACTGGGCGAACCTGTGACGCGCGATTGCGTCTCAACACTGTGAACGCGCTCGTCCCGGAGTCCCGGAGGTGAGGTGGTGATCACTCATTCTGAAGACACAAAGCTTGTTGAGGAGTAGAGTGTCCTACGCACGGCATTATGTAAACCACTCGACACTCGAGACTCTCTCGCTTTCAATGAACCCTGCTTGGAGAGAGGAATGGAACATCGCAAACGCAGCTTTAGACATCGCGACATGCGCTTCGTTTCAGCCGGAATAGAGTGCTTCACTGTTCCAGGAATTTGTTACTGGAAGAAACCTCCTGGTTACACCAGCCCACAGGGAATGATTTTGTCCGTCCGTCGTGCATCCAAAAATGGGAGGGGTGGGGCTGAGTGGAGAGGGGATGGTGGGGAGGGGCTGCGTGGGGAAGGTGGGGAGGGGCTGGGTGGGGGAGGTGAGGGTGGGGCTGGGTGGGGGGTGGGAGGGGTGGGGCTGAGTGGGGAGGGTGGGGTGGGGCTGGGTGGGGAGGGGCTGGGTGGGGAGGGGCTGGGTGGGGAGGGGAGGATGGGGAGGTGCTGGGTGGGAGGGGTGGGGCTGGGTGGGGAGGGGCTGGTCACCCCGTGGTGCCCTTATAAAACTCAACGTTTAGCCTACTCACGCCGGCTTGTGCCCGCCCTCACAGTCGGGCATATTTGCGGAATACACCACGCCGCCGTTGACCCTGGCCATTGACCGAGCAACCCAACGTTCCTACCAGCTCCCCCCGCTGGAATGTGTTAAGGAAGACTCACCCGTCTCGCCTTTTACGGTATTATAGGATTAAAGGAATACAACATATGCACTAGTAGTCTCGTGGTATTACGCCGATAATAATCCCTTGTCCATGCCAGCCTAAGCAGCGTTCTGGAAAGATCGAATGAGAAGTCAAGCCCTGCGTGTAAGTAATATCGCATCGGACACACACAACTATGTGTGTGTGTGTTTATGCTGTTGCCAAGAAGCCAACTCAGGTAGCCGGTGTCAGGAGCGAGTGGGATCTAAACGGGTCCTGGGTTTCACCGCCAGCACCTTCATCAACGTACCCTGACCAGCATGGCAATTCGTAGTGCCTTGCCGAGGTCTTTATCCAACAGTGAATTTACAACAGGATGCTGTCTTTTTTTGTATATATATAACCTATAGGCCATATGTGACCGCACACGTTACAAATTGAATTACAACACTCTTGATTTGAAGCTTTCGTGACTGCAGGAATCCATACTCTTTGGTTCTTTCGGTAAAGTCACGTAGGTAGAAAAATAATAGATTACGACGTTTCGATCGCAACACAAGCACTCGTCATCAGATGCGGCAACCACGCCTACTTCAGCAGTTTTTTCTTGCTTTGGTTGTCCCACCTGATGACGATTGCTTGTGTTGCGATCGAAACGTCGTGATCTATACATTTTCTACCTACGTGACTTTACCGAAACAACGCAAGAATATGGATTGCAACACGTTCATAGTTAGCATCCTCAAACTAGCACAGAGCGGCGTTCGTTGGCGCTGGTCGTCCCAATTCAACATTTTCAGGGCGGGCACTCGTATCATCTGTGGCACCGTACAATGCACACGCGAGTCAAAAACACTGCAGTAGTATTACTGTGACAGGGATGAGCGTGAGGTTATTGCTCACAGCGACCCAGTGATCTCGCACGGTCAAAGGGGCATAGAGGGACTCCCCGCCCACCCTTTGCAGCACGGCTATTAAAGAAGAAAGCGCGACTATTTCACGTACAATAAAGAAGGACCATTGCCCGAAACGTCGCCGATGAGATATATATATATAACATTTCTTTCGAGGCAGTGTTGTTGTTGGAGAGTGTGTTGATTCGTTTTTTTGTTATGCCACGTGTTTTTGCTCAGGTACTCTTTTGCAGCTGGCAGCCCAGCCCCCACGTGCAACAGCAGCAGTAGCAGCCAGCAGCAGCAGCCCCGAGACAGCCACCCACCGCAACAATGCCTCCTCTGCAAACGCGGACCGCCCCGCGCCCGCCGCGTCATGCACACTTCGAGCTTATAAGACAAAAAAAAACCAGCCACTCTTTCTCCATTTGGAAACAACTCAAGCCGTACAAACAACACGTACATGCGCACGCCTGACCCCCAGGCCGCATCGACAACAGGGGCAGTAGCAACGAGCAACAACGCCACCATCACCCCCATCGCGCAGCAATGCCCACGCATTGCAACGAGGTTCTGCTCACCTGGATGGGGCTGTGCATGGCCGCGGCAGGTGTCCTCAACACGCTGGCCAAGGAGATGGCCTACGGTCGCTTCTGGGACCGCGAGGGGCAGCCGCGTGTGATGCTTCCCGCAAGGCTGGCGTGGTGCACGCAAGAGCTTCCCTCTTTCGCGGTGCCAGTGATCCTCCTGCTGATGCACGTGGGCTCCTCCGAGCGCGACTCCGTCGACGCGGTGAACATTGTGCATCTGGCAATGTTCTGCGGGCACTACTTCCAAAGGTGCGTTGCGTGTGACGCCGAGTCGGGAGTGATTTCTCTGCGCACTGATCACCAGAGGTGTGGTTCGAGGCGCGCGGTCTCAAACATGACACTTTGACACGCACCAAGGGAGGGATTGATTATTGGGGAATGCATGCATGGGTGCCACGGTGGCGAGATGTTAACTTCCTCGCCTGGTTTTACAGGAGATCGTGGGTTCAATGCCGACCCTGACGCCTGTATATCTAGAGTTTTCATGTTCTCCCCGTGGTCGCGTGGATTTTTCTCTGGGTCTTCTGGTTTTTCTCACCACAATTTTAGAATCATGCGTTTAGAGTATTTGTCTGCTATACATTTCCACATAAGCTATTTCATTGGGCTATCATTTGTGACCAGGACGCTTCTGAAAAAGAGCTGTATATCTCAGTGGACCTTTGCTGGGAAAATAAAAATGTAGTAGCTGTAGTGGCCTAACATTATTGATCATGTCAAAATGAAACAAATGACCTGGTGATGCTGCATTGGCGGTGGTGCACAAGCACACTTAATAAATAAACACCTCAAGGCGTTCATCAATAGCCGATGTCTTTAGACCAGTGGTACTGAACCTTTGTTTCTCAATCGTTAAAAAATATGTATACAGTAATGCTAATCAATACATAGGTTTAGCCATATTTGTTTGTTGTAGTACAGAGTTAGACGTATAACTTTCATCTAAATTGTCTTATGGTTGTTATTGTTTGACTTGCATCCCACTGGCATTTTGGCACACAGCGTTGATATACGGTGCTTTTCCTGGAAGACTTTTGCTGTTTTTTCCTGGATTTTTCTGCTGCGTGTAGTCACTTTAAGATGTTCTTTGTTCATGTTTTTTGTTTGTTGCGATTGCACCCGAGTCAAGAGCCGCATGGCTCACAGGGCTATACCTAATAAATGAAACAGAAAACTGAACTGAAGTCGGACTTACGAGCCCGTGCTTAATTTGTGTTTCGATTATTTACCTTCCAGAAATGGCATCTCGCATCCCCAAGGGGCGCATGCACCCCAGGCTAAGGACCACTGTTTTAGACAATCGCTCTTATTATCATTATTATTATTTTTATTCATGGCACCTGATTGAAGAAAGGCCATTGCCCAAAGCGTCGCCGTTTATTTTTTTGTTTCCTTTAAGGCGAAGTGCTTTTTGACGAGCGCTTTGTGTTTTTCCCTCCACATTTAAAATCATGCGTTAAGTGGGCGTTAAATGAAGGGGCGACCCTCACAATTGTTCTCGTCGAGATGCTGTTTCATCGTGTTTTATACTCCTGTGACTTGTCCCCCATATACAGTATATGCACAAGAATGTAATGCAACCACTTGACCAGGTTGCAGGGCCTTTGATATTCACATTTGTTTTTATTATGCATCGACATACTGCCGGATATGCTTTTAATAAAACAATAAACGATAGCGTGACGCCACCCTTGAAGTGAAACATGTGAAGTGATTTGTTTTTTATAAAATGTAACAAAAAAATCTGGGACAATGGATAGTTTTGAGAAAGAAAAAACACAATATAGCGAAAGTGTAATTCCAACATATTTCAAATAGTTAAATATTAAAAAAGCATTATCCAGACTACAAAATTGGCGTAACTTGGCATTTAACTAACTCTTAGTTACCTATGTTGGTTTCACCTTCATTTAAAACGCACCTACCTTGATCACGCGAAACGTTATCCACGATGTGTTCGCCTAAGACCCGAAGTGAAACACACCAACGATAGACCCAGCATCCACTGGCCCTCCCTAGTGATGGTTGACGAACCCTCGTGTGGATTGTGGCGTCACCGGGTGGTAGGGCTGAACGATTTGGGGAAAATATCTAATCGCGATTTTTCTGACAGATATTGCGATTGCGATTTGGGATTAAATTTGTTGAAGTCAAGCTTCAGTTCAATTGTCACTGTGTAATAGATTTAAAACATGTGATGGAGCATTACCACATGATACCATCAAAATATTAACTGCTCTATATATTCTAATGCAAGGATGAGAACTTCAAATATATGAATTGCTTCCAACATGTATTTATTAAAATGTTTTAATTGAAATAGAACAATCAAACAGAACAATTGCTAAGTTAAATAAATAAAGGTATAATAATAAAAATAATAATAAATAAAGAAACAAATAAAGCACTTTCGATAAGAAAGTAATCAGACTTTTCAAATCGCAAAAAATGTCAGCCTTTGCGATTTGCTAATCGCATCGTTTCAAATTGCGATTTCGATTTTAAATCGATTAATCGTTCAGCCCTACCGGGTGGCAAGGGACAATGGCTGGTGGGAGGGGGCCATGGACCTGCCCCTGATCGGTGAACAGAAGTAGGACTCGATTTGTCGTGCGCTCGTCAATAGACGGGCAGTACCTGCGCTGATGGCGGTGTGCGTGCGGTTACCTCTCCCCGCAGGACATTCATCTTCTCATTGCTGTCTCGGGGCCGCCCCACATCCTTGTCTGTCATGGTGAAGGCATTTGTATTTTGCGCCCTCAACGGATACCTGCAAAGCTACAACCTTCTGAAATGCAAGAGCTACCCGTCGGACTGGCTCACCGATGCACGTTTTCTCATAGGTAGGGGGCCAACACTGTGGTGTGGCTATCGAGTGTGCAGGCGGTGCTGCTGCACCAGGGCGCACAAACCGGAGGTGCCAGGCACCGGGCCACAAAGGGGTGGAGAGAAGTTTTCCATTCCTTGCACCAGGGATGCATGCTGACGCCACTCGGCTAACAACCAAAATTGTCCACATACAATATACAGTACAAGGTCCTGGAGAGCCTCACCGAGTCTACACATTATCGATTTATTCGTTGAGACCATTTTCAAGGCAGGGCCCTTGCTTGTGACGTTTGGCCAGTTTCGTGAATGTTTTCAAATATGACAAGGAAGTGGAGTGCCTGGAAAGCATTAGGTGAAATACTCTCTCCATGTCGAGGTGATGCAGAAACTCCACGTCCAAAACAGTCATCAGAGGAGTGCGCCGCTAAAGTGAACGAAACCAAACCTTGACCACACGAGGGCGTGGCTGACTCAGAGCCCTGCTGGTTTATGTACAAGGCTTTTAGCTGCCCGTAATCGGATTAACGTTTTGCTGGTCTGCTTGTCTATTCAATTCCAAATGATCCATTCCATCAGCTGTATCGATAATCTCCTTTGTACATCAGGTGGCAAAGTCCGGATAATGTGTTACATAATTCCTACACTGCCAAACTGACAGAACAAGATTATATTGTTCTGTTTTGCAGCAGCACACTGAACACAGCATGACTTGTAAATGCTCTAGTTTAATCCTTCATTGGCAGCACGGTTGAATAGTCTGGATTTATAAATTGTATAAATATAACTACATCCCAAGGTCAATTCAATGTTTGGCATGGAGAGTCTTCTCAAAGAAGGAACAGTCACACACCAAGGAATGACAGCCTTCAACTTGGATATAAATATGGTTTGGGCAGGAATGAGTTGCAAATGTGGGTGTGTGTATTATACAGGTGTGCGTGTGCGTGTGTCTACGAGCGACCTGGCCAACAGTGACGATTATCTGAACCGGTCCTGGGACTACCCTTTAATGCGATGTGTAAACATCACCACTAGGGAGACAAAGGTGGTCGGGCGTGATGCTGGCCACAAACCCCCTCGTGTGCCATACTGGCCTTCATTGGTGCTCGCAAACAAATGTCGGTTCAGGCTATATGGTTGCATCTTTGTTGTTTGTGTCTGTGCTGCTAGGCTCCATCATCTTCCTGGCTGGCATGGCTATGAACATTCACAGCGATCGGATCCTTCGAAATCTGCGGAAACCTGGGGAGTATGTGTACAGAATCCCACGTGGTGAGAACCCATGAACCCTCAACTGCAGATTCACTATTGCCATCTACTTCTTGACTTGTCAGTCACCGATGTTGCCCCCAGTCACGCGCAGATATAACCATACACCCCTTGCCCCTTCATCAAGCCGTTCAACATTTTAGTTTGCAGTCACAAGTTTGTTTTACTTACAAACTGGCAGAGTGGCCGTGCGGTGGTTGGTGTATTGCACGATGAACCCGGTAACTTGAGGTAGCTGGGTGGTTCAGAGGGCTGAAATGGTGCACCTGAGATTCTGGGTTTCAATCCAGGTAGCTGGCTGTGATGAAATTGAGTTTTTGAGTGAAGCGGGTAGATATTCTCAACCAGGTAACGAATTAACTTAATTTGGTTCTGAATTTAATTGGTTAAATTCTAACTCTAGGAATTCAAAATATCAGGTTGACTGTCATTTGACAAACATTTCTCCGTCACCAAGCCCCACATACCCCCACCTATAGACGCAGTGCGAGAAGCCCTCCCTTGTTTTGGAAACTTTTTTTTTTTACTTGATCGCATGTATTATTTTCTTCGCGTTTAAAGTATTTGACTGCTATAAAATGTCCACGTGATAAGCCACTTCGTTGAGCTGTCATTTGTGTCCAGGTCGCTTCTGAATAACGAGCTATATCGCTCAGTGGGCATTACCTGGTAAAATAAAAATAAAAGTTTAGTTTTGCAATCCTCAATGATCTGACATTCACTTATCTTCAGAAATGTTCATACAAAGTAGAACATTCTCTTCCAGATTAATATGTTTGCAGTCGAGTTCAACAGGTTTGCTTATAGGGTAGTGGATTCACTCCTTCATAAATCATCATGTGTCACAAAATACCTTTACAGACCACTAAGAATAACACATTCGGTAAACCCTCATTCATCCATGAGTCACGTGACTGTAGCACCCCCCCCCCCCCTTAATCCCTTCTACAATTAATGTGGGTCCCCTCTGAACCGTACATAGTTAACCGTGCGAATCAGAGAAGCCGAGTGCAATCGATTTTGACCATTGTTTCTATATTATTTGAGTATTCTATCGTATTGCTCTATAACAGTATTTCCTTGAATAATTTTTACAAACGTCGACACCGATATTGTTGACTTTTCTCTCCTTTGTTGGTTCAGCTCTGTACACTTAGCCTTGTATTACACATTGGGCAATCACATTTGACCCAGATTAACCTCAAAATAAAGTCTTAAGATATCAATGGGCTCCTGCCTGGGAAAGTATAGTATCTTCATAGAGTTTTATAATAGCATGTACAGCGTGGGCCGTAAGTAACTACCGGATTTATTTCGCCTATAACTTTGGAAAAATGAAATAAAGACACACACGCAAAAATAGAGCATTATATTCATACTCTTTGGTTCTTTCGGTAAAATCACGTTGATAGAAAAATACATAATAAATCACAACGTTTCGATCGCAACACAAGCAATCGTCATCAGGTGGAAAGATACAGCAGTAGAACTGCTGAACAGCAAAGGGCTGCTGCAACAAGAGGTTATATCTAGGTTTGAGGTGGGTGTCACCCGAGGGTAAGTAGGCGGGGTCAGAGATGGAAAGCAGTCCCGTCGCCGCACACACGCACAGCAGCTGCGTCAAAGGGAGAGATTGGTATGTTAATGTAAACGAGTTTAATGGGAAATAAGCACCGTCGTCGCACCCGTTCAAGTCTTAATATATCAGTGATCGTCTCTCTATGTGGAGATAATTGAACAATTGTTTCTGAAATACATTTAAACTATTCTTGCACGCTGCTAAGGTGTATACCGGTTTATCGTAAACTCCCAGGCTTCTACTTTATTTGTGGAAAAAAATCTACAAAATAATTTAACACAAAATACTGCCATTTTCAAATCAGGTAGTTACTTATGGCCCACCCTGTATAAACACAGCAGGCATATCCCCCTGTGTATGTGCTCTCCTCACAAGCGCAATGTCAGTTCAGCAAAAAAAAACAGACGTTGGAGCACAGCGCAGCAGATGATAACATTTGGACACTGTTTAATGTTGGGTTAGAAAAGTAAAATGCGTTTTTTTTCATGCCTAAAGTTACTCACCAGAAGTAGGCATTGAGAGAGAGAGAGAGGAGGGGGTGGGGGTGTGTTATCATTCCATGACTACTGTTAACTGATTTTAAAATGACACAGACATTATGCCGGGGTGTTTCCTGAACTCCAGTCCTTGCGACTCACCACTCAACGTCTTTCCGCGATGACCAATTTCCCAGCGTTCAAATGGAACTCGTTCCTGGCTACATGCGCCCCATAGCAATGAACGATGTCGGCGTTAATCGAGCCGATTCACATGAAGATTGGGAGCAGAGTTTGTGTGTGTGTTGCAGGTGTGCGTGTCAACGTGCTCCACGTGACGCGGACAGATTTAATTGCTTAGCACGTCACGTGGCACGTTTATCAATCACCGGGAGCATGTGAAGTCGGGAACGAGTTCATTTGTATTTGAAAATGGAGTAAATTGGTAATCACCGACGGACGTTGCGTCAGGAGTCGTTCGGACTGGAGTTTGGGAAAGTTGATTTATGCAAAAATCCAAAGTCGACCATGGTACATCACACCAACGTGCATCTGCAAAAGTTGTGTCATTTTTAATCCAGATCATGCGGGTCCTGCATATAACCGTAGATAACTATCACCTCCACTCAAGTTCAGCAGAGGGGTGTTGATAACCAGAGTTCCAGTAAAAAATGGTTTTCAACAACTGGAAAAGCAGGCTTGTAGAAATGAACAACATGTAATTCACAGAGTATGTTTTTTTCTCTCAGAAAATAACAATTGCGTTCATTTCTACTCTTTATTTCTAGCATAAAACTAGGTTTACTTAATCACCAACATGCATCCAAAACCAATTCAGGTCTGTCTATATCCTTTATAATCAGCCATGTTCCATCCACTGCTGGATGAGGTGTCCTTACTTGTGTGCTTGGCCACCAGTGCCTCCAGTGCCTGTCTGTGCGCTGGTGCGGCTGCAGGAGGGTTGTTCGAGCTGGTATCCGGTGCCAACTTCCTGGGCGAGATTGTGGAGTGGATCGGCTACGCCCTGGCCACCTGGACCTTCCCTGCCTTTGCCTTCGCTATTTTCACCATCGGTTGCATCGGGCCTCGCGCCCTGCACCACCACCGGTGGGGGTCCAGATAAGCCACACCAGTTGGCATGGGTCACCAGGCAACGATCGTGGCGTTGAGCCATCTCATACTTTTGTAATGTTCTTGGAGGGAGACGGAGTCTTCGTAGAGGCAACACGCTTTATTTCACCAAACAGTTACACTAATCCCTAAGACAAAGGGGTAATGGCCCCTTTCACCCACAACCTGGGCAGGTACAGCCTCCGGGCTATCGTACCTACAACTCTCCTTACTTCAGCCCTCCGGCTGGCTAAACCTAGGGGAGGCTGACCCACCGCTGGCCCAGTGGGTCCCTGACCACTGGCCCGTCCGGACCTGGCCCTCACAAGGGCATCAGGTTGAGGAAACCTCAGGGTCCTAACCCCACGACCACTGGCACCGCACTGAGCCCCGGCCCTTAGAAGGATGTTGGCGGCTTGGGGTCCAGGGTCGTCTTCTTTTTTTTCAGGCGGATTCTGGCTTCGGCTTGAGACAGACTGACTCGCGCTCTCAGGGACCCGCCTAATATACTCTTTCTCCCTGAGGGGCGGGGCTCTGGGGGATCGTAGCTCCTGCCAGCCCCCTCCCCTCAGAGGGGTTCCAACCGCCGTTGGCCCGACCGGTCCGGACCGGTTCTACCCCTCCCCCTGGTTGTGGCGCATGTGTCAATCATTACCACCACACTTTGAACAACTCAACGCCGCATTCTCACGACTGCTTGATAGTTAGTCAACCCTGGTTCATAAATGGGGCAAGTGGGCTTCCCCCAGATTTCCACAGTAGCGTCACTGAGCCAAGCCAAATACACGGTAAAAAATATTACAAAAGTAATGGATTGATTGGGCCAGCATAACTTTACCCGAGCCTACATTACACGATATAAAATGTAATAGAAATATACATTTGGCACAGGTCATCGTCACCCAGTGTCAAAGTATTACACGTCCTCAAAATTCACTAATATTCAAATCTCTTTGGTAGCTGAAAATATTACACAGGCAATGCCAAATATTATCAGCAGTGGCTGAATGGTTTAATGTATGGAGACATCACCGGTAATTATTAGTAATAGCTTTAAAAACAAAAAAAATGCTGTGTGCTGAGTTTTATCACTTGAAACAAGGTTTTTTTTTTATAAACAGTATATAATTGAAAAACAGCAAAGTAAAATCAATAACTGTAGTAGTTGAGCCAATACGGGATATATCAGATATCATCTGATGAGGCCGATACGTTTCCACCCTTACTAAAGAGCTTACAAATACTCCATCAGAATGCTGAGATGCCATTACTGAAGCTGCATTACATTGATTGGTCTGTTTGCCATGAGATTAACTCATTGTGTATATTTTTTTCTATCTTCTTTCAGATATTACCATGAACATTTTTCAGACTATCCCAAGTCAAGAAAAGCTTTAATTCCATATTTTCTGTAAAAGGCCACTGCTGCCCTTAATCGAGTTGTCATTGTGCTTTATATTTTAATACAACATTCTAGAATTTACATTTACCACTTTGAACGCCGCTACCAAGGACAGTATAACGAGAACTTGATGGGAGACTACATTTGGGGGCTCATTCGTGAAAGTGATTTACATTATAATCGTAAATCTAGAAAAACTACTCCCTTCTAAATTTTTTGTCGTAATTTTTGTATTACTTTAGTATAAATACATGTTAATTTTGATTCATGTGTTGTTTTTTATGACTTTATGTGAACGTAAAGACACAAATTCGCCCGTTTTCTCATTGAAAATAGGTACATTTCAAAATATCACTGTCCTGGTCATAAAAGCAAAAATTGTGGGCAATAATAGCCATTTTCTGTACTCACAAGTGCTTCTGTTTAATAGGCAAGTTAATAAACGCAGGAGGCATCACATTGAGTGAGTTATGTTGGCTCCTGGCTTGGATTTTTGTGGTCGTAGATTTTAGTTTCCTCAGTTTTTACCAATGGTGCAAAATGGTTACTGCATAATGCGCATATACATGTACAATTTGAGTGGCTGTATATCAATAATTCACAATCGAGTGACAGCTATTCAACAATAAACACAACATTCAAAGTTAACATATCTGTACCTGCAGGGCTTTCCTTTGCAAGAACTGTTGTCATTAAATGTGTAGTGACATGGAATGGGTCACTACGTAGCATAGTGGGGGTTGCTGGCAGAGAAGGGCATCTGCAGTTGCAGCAGCCCTGTCAGCAGGTCACGTGATAAGCCAGAGAGAGGGATGTCGGGGAAAGGTGGCAGAGGGGTCACGTGAGGTAAGCCGCGAGTATGTTCTAGAAGGGGGGCGTGGCCGGGGCGAAGCGAGGCCACGCTGGGAGGATAAAAGGGGACCCTGAGCAAAGGCTCGGGGCTGTTGCCTGGAGTGCGATCCCCTCGTCGTGCTGCTGGAGTCTTCGTCACCGTCTACGTCTTCACCATCTCGGCGTCGTCAGTCAGGCAGTCTGCCAGCTGTGCTGACTGGGAGCTGTAGTTACCTCTTGTGAACTGTGATGGCTATTAATAGAGTGCCTCCTACTCCTAGTGTCACCACATATGCATTCAACTAAGATTGCATCATACAGGAATGTCAATAGGTGATGCCAGAAACGTGAATTACCAGCACCCTGTCAAGACCGTCCATACTTTATGCCAGCAAGGCATTGCCAAACTTAATTTTGCTGTTTGTGTTTAGAAATAATGATCTAAGAGTATCTGCCACAAAAATGATTTGCTTTGGTGGACAGCGTACTTGTACAGCTGGGCTGATGTACATTTAAGAACAGGTGCAAACCTAACTTTTAAGTGAAAACACATAGCAACTATTGCACGTGGCAGGGACAGCAACTGATTGGTGACATTGCTGGACAAAATAATCAGATTCTTAGGTTTTTTTTTCGGTAAAGTCACGTAGGTAAAAAATTTAAATTACTTGATACAGCATCGTGCTGTGACGGTTCCACCTGCAGACGGAAGCTTGTGTTGCCTCCGAAACGTCGTGATTTTGATTTTGATTTTACTTTTATTAATTTTAATATTTTTTACCTACGTGACTTTACCGAAAAAAACCCCTAAAAATATTAATCCTTGCAGTCACGAAAGCTTCAAATCTACAAAATAATCAGAGTACAGTATTTGGGGAAATATGTATTACATGTAGTGGTGGCAGTCAATATATTTGTAAACAGTAACCTGTACTACAATGTTAAACAATGACAGCATTTTTAAAATTAAAATAAGTATACTTATAATTGTGCAGCCATATCCATTTCTTCCAGTGGTGTTCTATTCCCAACCTGATATGCCACAATCACTCGCCGGGCAGGCGCTGCACAACAAAAAGAATACAGATGGTTATCTATCGGCTTAACTCGTGCTAGTCCCGTGCACCACCATCCACACTCCTTGCCACAGACCCCCCCCCCCCCCGACCTCTTGACCCCCCCCCCCAACACCCTATATAAACACGTTGTCTCGTAATAACTCTTTTCACACGCCTCAGTAATTTTGCTGGAGCAGTCAGCACCTGATGACGGTTGCTTGTGTTGCTTCTGAAACGTCGTGATTTAATTTATTTTCTCTTTTTTACCTACGTGACTTTACCGGGAAAAAAAACAAAGAGTAAGTATACTGTACGTGATTGATAACCGATACGTGGAAGGGTGATGCAGTGATAACACTATATGTCCGACTTGGGTACCCGTGTTGGCGTTTGTATGTTCTTGCCCTGTTTTGCATGGGTTTTCTTTGAGTTGTGTAGTTCCCTCCCATAGCTAAAACAACCTAATATAGTTGGTATTGGCCCAAGCATCCCGATGCTGAATTATCTGCAAATCACTTAATTGGGATTACAAACAACGGCAACATCATCCCCTCCTGCGAAACATTGGCAGAATCCTGCTAAAAACGAGTTTTGAGACTCGGTGAGGCTTTCCTGGGTTAAACAAGCAAAATAATAATACAAATAAAAAAAACAAGAATATACCTGAGCTCAGAAACTAAGCTGGCTCGAGCCTGGATAGAGCTTGATAGGTCACCACTGTGCACCAACGGCGTTATAAACTGACGTGACATATACGTTACGTGATGAGCATCATAAGGCCTACTGCGGCTCATCCTCACGCCCACCAGGGGTCACTGCAAACAATAGGACGACTTTCCATGGAGCGAATTTCAACAATGCCAAAGCCATGTTTTCAAAAGACGGCCACACAAAGTGCGTTGGGAATTTCGCAAAGGTCCCAGAGACAACAGGGATCTTTCCTGGGAGGTCTCTTGAAATAATCCCCTTCAGACAATAACGCACAAATGCGATTAAGTGGGGACTGAATTTTTTCCCTTAAAAAAATTATAACAGCGAACCTGCTCCTCATGGTGGCAGCTACGAAGCGCTTGTGAATATCTGTCCCCAAGGAATCGCAGGACCCCGGTATTGGACAGCTTCTCGGATGGATTTCATCCCGTTCAAAAAAAGGCAACGAAACACTTTGGGAATCTTTCGATTTAAAGCTTTCGTGACTGCAGGGATTCATCTTCTTGGTTCTTTCGGTAAAGTCACGTAGAAGGGAAATAATAAAATAATAAAAATAAAACATAATAAAATAATTCTCACGACGTTTCGGCCACAACGCAAGCAGCCGTCCTCAGGCGAAGACCAGGTCTGTCGGGGAGACGGACCCGGGGAGACAGACCTGTTCTTCACCTGAGGACGGCTGCTTGCGTTGTGGCCGAAACGTCGTGAAAATTATTTTATTATGTTTTATTTGTATTATTTTATTATTTCCCTTCTACGTGACTTTACCGAAAGAACCAAGAAGACTTTGGGAATCATAAAACAGGGCAGGAAGGCGAAAAGCAGATCCTGGTCCAAGGGGATGTGTCCTGCACCACCCCTTCACAGAGGAGACGTACACACAGCTCTATGCCTTTAATGTGTTCTTCTGATGAAAACGGATACATTCATAGGAGATCAGAATCTGCAGACCCATTCCCCAAGCTGCACCGAGCAGAAGGGGTGTTTGTCCTCCTGCATGGCCTGCAGCTCATCGGTTTGTCTGCTGATCATTTAATGGTCTTCGGGGACATTTCCAGCACCTTTTGCACAGTGCTGGATTATCCCAGTTGCAAAAGTAGATGCATATGTAGCTACGGGGCCCGCACTTTCAAGGGCCCCGCGCTAAATGCTTTCAAGCTATCAATTCCGGTTCAGTGATTGTGCACTTGCTCTATTACTATAGTACTATACCGCCTTCAACTTTTAGGAACGACTGGGTGTTTAAGGTTAGCGATTTGTCGTATTATCTGGCTGTATAGCAAATGAAAAAATAAGACTTTACTATGAGCGACAAGGGATACCAAGTTGAGCATGGACAGGCCTTCTTATTGACGAAGACAGTCTTTCGCAGGGCTTTGATATAACGTTTAAAAAAAATGTTTGGCTGCAATGTAATTGTCCCTGTCGAAGTTGGATGGGCGAGACCACCTCGCGAGAGGGGCGCCCTCTCCTGGCGAGTTCATCTCCATGACCCTCACCCCGACCCCCCCCCCCCCCACCGCGTGCTTCTCAATAAATTAAACATTATCTTGAATTAAGATAAATGAATAGATGTATGACTCGCTCAGGCAACCAGCGGTAGCAACTGCATTGTGTAATGTAGTATAATATGTATAAATGCTGACAACAATCGGATACACTCTTCTTGATTGCATTTTGCATTCGTAAGTATTTTGTGACAATGAAAACATCGCCGAGCTGTTTAACGTTAAAAAAACTATATCCACAAATTGAAGGTTGTGTTTGGGATACAAGTCAAATTGACTCTACACAAACGAGGTGCGACACACTAACAAAAAAAGTCTAAGATTCCAAACTGGAAATATGCAGGGAAGGTGCTGCGTTACATTTTTTTTGCATTTTAAGAAATGTTTTGGGACCTTTTTGGCAATATCAAGTATCTTTTTGATACTGGCAAAAAGGTAACATTTTATAGCTTCTCACCCCGAGCTATAAATGCTCTGATAGTGGCATTGTCTCACCAGTGTCAGACGAGGCCCTAAAGAAGGCTGTCTCTGGTGTCGGCCAATCAGTTTAAAAGACAATGCCATATTTTGCTCCTGCGAGAAAACCGGTATGCCCAGAGAAAACCCAAGCATACGAGACGATAACACATAGGTGTCTGCACAAATGGCTTCAGGGATAACACATTCCTGTGGAGGGAGCTGGTAGGAACGTTGGATTGCTCGGTCAATGGCCTGCAGGGTCAACGGCGGCATGGTGTATTCCGCAAATATGGCCGACTGTGAGGGCGGGCACAAGCCGGCGTGATTAGGTTAAACGTTGAGTTTTATAAGGGCACCACGGGGTGACCAGCCCCTCCCCACCCAGCCCCAACCTTCCCACCCCCCACCCAGCCCCACCCTCCCCACCCAGCCCCACCCTCCCCACCCAGCCCCTACCCACCCTCCCCTCCCCACCCAGCCCCTCCCTCTCCACCCAGCCCCTCCCTGAACGACGGACACAATAACCCCCTGTGGGCTGGTGTAACCAGGAGGTTCCTACCAGTATCATCTACTGTAATGCCACACCTAGCGGGGTTTCAGAGTATCACAAATCGGCATCGCCCACCAACACGTGCTCCAAATTTCTGGATCACAGAGGCGTTGAACCACCACACCTGACTCAAGGTAAGGCCATGTACCTCCGATTAGCACCGTTGGCTACGTATGATGCGAAAGACGTTCAACATGCACACATGTACATGCCCATCTTGTTGGAAACCAAAAATAGTCGTTGGTAGCCCTCAAAGGAGACTAGGGATATTGTGTAGCCAAGAGGGATCTGTGAGATGTCTTTATCTCTGAAGATGGGAAACGTGTCCTCTTAGCGTATTACATCGCTACATCAACTTGAACACATCACGGTTCATTTGCTCATTCAGTCACTGTTGATCTGAACCTCTGTACAAACAGTGTGAAATACTTTATTGGAATATCACAACAAAATCTGATTCCAACTCATCTGGTGCATATTGATAGCGGGTCAAATGGATAATAACGCCTTGTTGACACAAACTGTGAGTAAAGGGCAAATTACAATTTCCATGAGACATTTTGCGAAATTACAACCGTGATTCATAACCAAACAAGACTGTGTTCCCTTTTTTTCTGAAACATGAACACATAGTGGTTTTACGCTGATACCAGGAACTTCAGTCACTTGCACAGAAGGCTTTATCATGCGGGGCGTATTTACGTCTGATGGTTTTTCAACACGACTTGATATCTGTGGGACATCACCATCTCGACGCTGAAGACAACGGGCATAGAAGACATCTGGCTACTACAAAAGTACGTTTACCGCTTTTGAAGTTGCAGTAATGTTGATGTGGTAAAACGATTAGTGGGTTTATATAATAAATTCAGAAATGGTAATCTGTGAACTGCCAGTATGAAGTGAGCATCTGGCATATGGTAAAGCTCATCATTTCAGAACGTTTAAGAAAACGGAGCACATTCAGCATAATGCAATTATAACCAATGAAAATGCAAAAAATCTTATTTTGGAACCAAATGTTGATATACCACATCAACACAGGTACCCCAGACTATAACGGTACAATCGTATATAGTTACTGCAATAGAAAATCATAATTTAATATGACTAAGCGAAAGTGTTGACACATGAGCAATGAAGTTCATCACTAAATAATGATACCACAATGTGTTTCATATCCATATTGGGTATAATATCTTACTATTATTTCTTGTTAAATTTATTTCAAAATAGCCAATGAAATCGATTGAATATAATTTGTCCTTACAGTTTCGATAAGAGGCAAACCAATGGATAGTTGTGACTGCATACAAATGTTTATTACTGCACTACACAACGGGATTCTAGATTAAAAACTAATTTCTTTACAAGTTATTTTATGCTTAGTTTGTTGTCCTTCCCCCACACCTACGTTTAGCATGGTTGACTAAGTACGGTGTGAAAAAAGTTAAACATACATGCATAACAACATTTTAATACTCTACATAGATTAAGTATTTTGTTATATACATAAGGCTCACGATAATACCAAGTATTATCTTACTTTTCGATTTAAAGCTTTCGTGACTGCAGGGATTAATATTTTTGGTTCTTTTGGTAAAGTCACGTAGAAGGGAAATAATAAAATAATAATAAATTTTACAAAATAAAACATAATAAAATTCTCACGATGTTTCGGCCACAACGCAAGCAGCCGTCCTCAGGTGAAGAACCGAGCTGTCGGAAAGACAGCATCCTAATGAACACTGCTAAGCTTGGCAGCGTATTTTAAGCTGGGTGGGAGGAGGAGAGCGCCTTGACAAAGGAGTTTACATATCAACAGGGTAATTTAGCATGTTGATGACAAATGCAGATATGAGGTGAGTCACTCCTTGTCGAATGTGTAGGCGGTGGGGGGGGGGGTCTCAAAGTCAAATTATGCTCGTGTATTATGTAGAATTAGCAGTAATAAAGGGAGGGAAATTTTACTAAAGGTACTAAGAGGGAGCAAAGAAATATGTCAATGGGAGAGTGGTAGCAGGAAACTTGCAGCGGAGCAAAAAACTCCGATCCGTGAAGAGAATACAAACGCTATATAGTCAATGCCAGCGAATGGAATGCGGTCTGAAAGTCACCGTAAACGTGAACACAATCAATCAAGACCCGAAATGGTTTATCACGTCCTTCCAATGATTGCTGAGCCAGAATCCATCTTCTCGGTTAAAATTGTATATTTGTATATGTGGAATGGCCTCATGAACGAATCTTTCATGGTAGCCGGATGGCTTGCAGAGAACCTCCGTCTTGGAGAAGTCGATGTCATGTTAGCCCACTGAATTATAACAATGATCTGCCACGGCTGAGAATTTTATGTTTTATTTTTATGATTTTATTATTTCCCTTCTACGTGACTTTTACCGAAAGAACCAAGAATATTATCTTACTGTTAATTATTTTAACTCCCCCCCCCCCCATTGAATTAGCAAGACGATTGCTACCATAGAAGTGTGGCATTGTCAACACTGGCTCGCGGTCGCTGAGATGAGCATTAACTGATGCTCATTTGCGTAATAGCCTCAGCGTCACTAATTGCGCTCTGATGTCAGTCATGACACAAATACATTCCCACTCGGAGCTGCCACAGAAAGCCGTGTAACACTGGCCCCACGTTAGATAACGGCCTCTGGAAGGTGACATCACAGAACTACATCTCAGGTCCCTTCAAGTGCCTCTCATCTGCACTGGCTGCTCAACCTCCTCGTATGCCCTGACAAAGGGCATTTGATTGCATACCTATTGAACATAAATATTGTTCGAAATACACTTTCATTATGTGCATATCACGAATTTATTGGGCTTTTAAAGTATTTGTTTTACATCTTTATATTGTCCAAATACGTTTTTTAAAGGGCACTGTAGTACTGTGTAAATGGATACATTGATAACTAGTTGCTGTATCTGTGTACTGACGTTAACGTCACTCATCCAGGTCAACTATGCAATTAACCGAAGATGTGGTGCCGGCTGTCAGCTGCCTGGTGGTCGTGCTCGCCCTGCCGCTCAACCTCGTGGCCATCTACATCCTCTGTGCGTGCATCAAGAGGAAGTCCTCCACCACCATGCTGATGATCAACCTGGCCGTAGCAGATGTCCTCTTCGTCTGCTGCCTATTCTTCATCATCCCGTACTACTTTATGGCAAACGTGTGGGTCTTCGGACTTTTCCTCTGCCACTTCGTCTACACGGTCTTCTTTACGACCACCTACGTGAGCACCCTGTCCATGATGGCCATCTCTGTGGACCGCTACCTCGCCATCCTGTACCCCATCAAGTCCAAGGTGTGGAGGAACAAGGTGTGGGGCTGCATGGCGAGTGCCATCATCTGGGTGGTGGTATTAATCCACATTTTACCCATTAATCTGGTCAACTTGATGAATATCGACCCAGCTCACAACACGAGTGAAGCTGCCTCCTCCTGCTATGATAACTTCAGCCAAGATGACTTGCATTTCATAGAGGGTCTTCGGTTAGTGCTGTGCATAGTCTTGTACGTGATTCCGCTGTTCGTCACATCCTACTGCTACGCCTCCATCATGAAAGTGCTCCTCTCCAAAAATGTTCTCAGCATGCGGAAAGAAAAGAAGACACGTGCCATTAAGCTGATCATAATTACGATGCTCATTTATCTGTTTTGTTTTGGTTGTTACAATGCTACGCATGTCATCGGTTATGTTAGCCACTCTAACATATGGTGGCGCCCGCTGTCACTTGTGTTCAACACCTTCAACTGCATGCTGGACCCTCTCATCTACTACTTTGCCTCATTCACCTGCCAGGAGGTCCTGAAACGATACTTCAGCCAAAAAAGACGGCTCAGCAATGGCAATGAAGCACCTCTGGATACCTAGCATCGAAAGCAAAACGGATGTGCTTGACTTTTCAAGAAAAATATGACATCTTAAACACTTTCTTTTCATTTTATCAACTGCAGAGCCCCTATCCATTTCATTGAACTAATGGTATATGCACGTTTCTTTGCAGGACCCTATGAATATGAACGTACAAGAACGTGTGATGGTAGTAACATTTGCAATAAGATGGGGTTCCTTGTCATTACGCAAACATCGTTTAGAAGTAGCTGAATGAACGTTTTCCAAATCACTTGATGAGACGCAGTGGCATCAGATCCCTGGACAGCTCCATCTCCGGATTTAACGCCTTTGGATTCCTTTGCACGGGGCTTTATCAAGTCAGAGGTGGTATCAAACACGAGCTAGAGATCTGCAAGGTTTAGGATATCATACCTATATATTGGCGGCAGTTCCAAAAAAAGAACTCCACAGATACTGCAAAATGCGTTCCGCAATGCGGCTGACATATTTGAACTGTGCCCAGATATTGACGGTGCTGATGCTTGAGTGTTAAGTTTGGTACCAGTGCCAATGCTGTGTGCGGAGGTGAGACCGAATACGTCTAGTCGAGACCTTCCCTTCCCCACCAGTGACGTGGGCATTCCAACGTCCCCGTAGCGAGTGTGTCCATCGCCGGTGTTCAGCCTTTCCGAGACTCATCCCTCTCTCGCTTCCATACTGGCATCACGCACACGCCCTTCACCCGCGTAAACATTCCGGGCTGGGCCCGACCGGATTACGTGGGTCACCCGGCCACCGGGCGCTTGTCCGCGAACACCACCTTCAGGACGAACTCTGATTTGTATTATTGCGTAATTTACCCTAAATTGCTTTGCTTTCAATGAAAGTAGAGGGGCGTTTCATGGAAGCCCTGTATTTTGTATGCTCAAGGTGTCCGCAGAATCGGTCACTTGCTTCAGCGAACGTACTCTTGAGTCTTGAGGCCTACGGTGGAATGCAAAATGCATGCGCTTAAATTAGATGGAGACGCAGTATGTTACAGGCATCAATGGGATAGGTAATTTGCTTTAAACAAATAAATAATAAATTTCTTCCCCCTGATGACTCCCCTCGTGGCGTCTTAACTGACCAAAACAAGCCTCTCACCAGTTGAAATTATGACAAAGTATCCATGTTTGTACTGAGGACACGTGACATGGCATAATTGTCAATCTATGTAGAGTATTACATGCACCTGTTTGTTGGAGGTTGAATCTACCATATGTGGGTTTCAGCTTTGGGGGTTTCATGAGTACAAATCATCTTTTATATTTTTTGACTTGGTTAGTAATGGTTACTCCATTACGATATAAATCTGCTCAGTTTAAAGCGTACATTTCACGCATTTGGCATAGAAATTGTGCTTCCAATATCTCACACAGCAACGATGATCACGCAGAATTGGTACTTTTCTAATCTTTCAGAGCAACTAGAGGCTGCTCATCACCCACTTCTTGAAATCGTTCATCTCCTTCTCTGTTGTTGGTATTGTTAGATCCAAATGTGCCAAGTCTATGTCGACTACGTCTTCCAATCTGCTCTGAGCTCTTCCTATTTTCCATCGTGTCGGTTTCTGTTGCATCAGCTCTCACGATGTCCTCAATCAAACTTGAGTAGATATCCGAATTATTGTGACCTCTTGTCTCATCCTTTACCTGTCACCTACCTTTGTTTGCCCTTGGATTCGTATAATCTTATGAAGGCAACACTGCTCGCATCCCGCCATTGATCAGTCTCACACCACCAGCTGGACAAACTCATACATATTGTCCATCTTCTCAATTTGAAGTCTGTGAAAGTCTTACACAAGCCGACATGTATTTGTATTCTCTTGTATGTGTTGTTATTTCATAGAAGCCAAAAGTAACTATATAGTTTTGCCAATATTTTAACAAATGTATAAATGATATATCATTTTGTTCCCAGTCCACCTTTAATAAGTGCACGAGGTATATATATTGTGATGCGTTTCCAGTTGTCTCCCAAACAAATGTCTTAATTTTTTCAGCGAACTTGTTGTTGATGAATTTTGTTTTTCTCATCTTGATCCGAACTTTAAAACAATTACCTTCATCTTGATTTGAAGTTTTGGTGACTGCAGGAATCCATACTCTTTGGTCCTTTCGGTAAAGTCACATAGGTGACTTTACCGAAAGGTAGGTGACTTTACCTTCAATAATATAAAACATTTACCTGTAATTCATTGTCCATTTGTTATTGTAATCATTGTATCATCAGCAACACAGAGATGTATATATGGTTATCCATTAATGTTTACGCTCTTATTTCCCCAATTCGATGTATTGAATAAAACATTTTCTGATGTTCCTGTGAAGAACTGTGGTGAAAGTATCTCTCCTTACCTGACTCTCCTTCTGATATGTAATTTGTTTAATTGTGACATGTAATCTCACTGTGGCTGTTCCATGTTTTTCGTTATTTATTGATGTCTTTTTTATATCGGTCTTAATTATTGGGCAACTTCATCGTGTTTCAACGAGTCAAATGCTGAATCGTAATCTGCAAAAGCAAGGCATAATGTTACACGATATTCTTTGGATTTTTCCAGAATATTTTTCATTGTATGTATGTGATCGATGGTAGAGAAACATTTCCAAAGCCTGGCTTGCTTACAATTTCTGGTTGGTCTCAAATGTTCCTCCTAATTTTCTGTTCCCATTGGTCATTGTGCATTCGTAGAGTGGAAAGTCATGGAGTCACCCAAGCTCTCACAAACCAAGGCCTAAACAACATATATCTAGAAAATATAAAAACACATTTACAAAGATAGAACAGCTACACTGAGATTGCATGAAGAAAGTAAACAGTGCATATGTTATAAGGGCAGCCAGGCAAGGAGATAAATCTTCGGACACAATGACCACCATTCACTAATTCTTCAAAGGGATCCTTGACAAATACAAAAATGAGGCACATTTCCCAACAGCTAATGGACATATTGCAAATGCATTCTTAGCATCATCGCTGTTTGATATTCACAATGGTTGGAGAAGACATAACATTTCAACCTCTACTTGGTGAGTACACAACAATATATGCAAGCCTTGGCAAATTTTACACCATCTTGGTAGATTTACTGGCAAGCACACTTTAGATTTTTATTACAAGTGAACACATGCCAGAGGTCACGACTGACTTAGAATTAAACTTCACTCAGAATAGCACGTTTCTGCTCCCAGGGCACCACCTTTCCCAAACACATTCCTGCGGAGGGAGCTGGTAGGAACGTTGGGTTGCTCGGTCAATGGCCAGGGGTGTATTCCGCAAATATGCCCGACTGTGAGGGCGGGCACAAGCCGGCGTGAGTAGGTTAAACGTTGAGTTTTATAAGGGCACCACGGGGTGACCAGCCCCTCCCCACCCAGCCCCACCCCTCCCACCCCCCACCCAGCCCCACCCTCCTCACCCAGCCCCTCCCCACCCTCCCTACCCAGCCCCTCCCCACCCTCCCCACCCAGCCCCTCCCCACCCAGCCCCTCCCCACCCTCCCCTCCCCACCTAGCCCTACCCTCCCCACTCAGCCCCTCCCCACCCTCCCCTCCCCACCCAGCCCCTCCCTCCCCACCCAGCCCCTCCCTGCACGACGGACACAGTAATCCCCTGTGGGCTGGTGTAACCAGGAGGTTCCTACCAGTATAATTATAAGTCCTGCTGCCTTCTAACATCATTGAGATACTAACAAATACACACGTGTATATTCATCAATTCAACCGAATTGTTTTCCCCAAATGTATTTCAATGCCTTTCATTGCCGTGGCTGTTATTCCGTAAGCGCTACGTAACCAAAGTTTGGAATTCGCACAGAATTTGGTGAAAAGTTAACCCAAGCATGCATACTTGGCTTTGTTCAACTGACATCTGGAACGCATGTGTTAGATGTGTATGAATTACATTTTCCATTCCAGTACAAACAAAATCACACATTTTATTTAATTAATATCCGTTGCAATTCAAAATGGATATGAAATACGTGCAATTAAATAACCGACAATTAGAGAAAAGTCAACACACGACACTGAATTGTAGTTATGTCAGCTTAAGGCCATTCGTATATTTGACGTTATTTTGGCTAATGAATGGGTTTTTGTAACCTTTTCAGTTATCCTAATTTTAACAGATGTATGTAATGCACATGTATAATTTGAGTGACTCTACATACAGGAATACACAAAGCGTTATCATTTCCAATGACTAATCACAACACAAAAATGCTAAATTAACATATCTGAACCTGCAGCATTTTTCCTTTCGAGAACAACTCTTATCATTATTCAACCAACAATGCACCAGACAGCATTGTCTTCAGGTGAAGAGTAAAATGCGAATCACGTCGACCCTCTCAAGACCACACAACGCCTTAATCTATGCGAGCAAGGATCGAAGTTGTCAAACTTGATTTTGCTGCTTGTGTTAGAAGTAATGAATCAGCCAAGAGTATCTGCCACAAAGATGCTTTGTTTCGGTGGGCAGGGTACTTGAACGGCTGTGGCTGATCTAAATTTATGAGCAGGTGAGTATACATAGCAACTACTGCACGTGTAGTAGGTTCAAGGAGACTTGGACGACGTAGTCGGAGGCACACTTATTTATTAACCACAGTGTAAATTACAGGCCGAGATATACAACATTCGAAGGGGTATCGGCCCCTTCACCCGTCTAACAGGGAGATCCCACAATCTCTGTCCCGGCTAGCCTACTCCTAGGTCCTCCACTACAGGGCTAGGGGAGGCTAGCTGACCCAGCTCTGGTTAAGCTGGGATTACGGCACCCTGAGTCCCCAGACCGGCTCTTACAAGAACATCGGCTCTGGGATCCCAGGCGAGTCCAGACGCTTAAGCCTTTGGGCGCCAGGCGCTGGGTTCCCAGGGGGTCCAGACGCTTAAGCCTCTGGGCGCCAGGCGTTGAGTTCCCAGGCGCTTAATCCCCTGGGCGCCGCCAACGGGGGGGGGGGGGGGGGGGCTGTGTGTGCTCTGTGGGATGTCTGGTGGCGCACACGGCCCCACCCCTCGTTGGACCAGGCATAAAAGGAGAGCTCCCTGGACGATCGGGGCCCAGTTGTAACTCAAGACCCAAGACCCACGACCAGCCATCTGAAGACCCTGGGATGCTGTGAGAGCCAGTGGTGGGACTCTGGAACTCCCGACTCTACGACCTTGTGAGGATGAGCGTAGCCAGAGTAGAGTATCTAGGCTGTGTAGCTAGGCTGTGTACCTAGGCTGTAACAGAGTATCAGGACTGTTGGAGTGTTGTATTGTAATAAAGAAGTTACATCTACAAGTGTCTCCGGAACCCGTTACATTTGTATCAATCTACATCAAATGTTGAAGCTCAGAGGGTGCCACCTGCCATGCATTGTCTGAACAGCACAGCCTCGCCAACCCTCGCTTGGAGAGATAGGCAGTGATCTCCACTGCAGAAAAATAAATTTTCACACAAAATATAAACGTACTCCTCTACTTACGAACTAGTTAGGTTCCTGAGGTTTGTTCGTAAGTCGATTTGTTCATCAGTCCAACTTTACTCCCGTCGATTCCAAACATGTCGTACGGCATGTACACTAAACACGGGGAATGGCTTTAAAAGTTGTATACTCTCCTGTAGATGTAGATGCCACTGGTTCTTCATGTTCTGCCGATGTAGATGCCACTGGTTCTTCATGTTCTGCATGATGTAGATGCAACCACCCCCATCTATTGCGCGGCGGTTGAACTTAGGACTCTTGGTCCGAACAGGCAACTGGACAGACGGACATGTTACTGGTAAGAACCCACTGGTTCCACCAGCCCACAGGGGATTATTGTGTCCGTCCGTCGTGCAGGGAGGGGCTGGGTGGGGAGGGAGGCGCTGGGTGGGGAGGGGAGGGTGGGGAGAGGCTGGGTGGAGAGGGTGGGGAGGGGCTGGTCACCCCGTGGTGCCCTTATAAAATCAACGTTTAACCTACTCACGCCGGCTTGTGCCCGCCCTCACAATCGGGCATATTTGCGGAATACACTACGCCGCCTTTGACCCTGGCCATTGACCGAGCAACCCAACGTTTCTACCAGCTCCCTCCGCAGGAATGTGTTTGTTAGTATATCTCTGAAAGTTCGTAAGTAAAGTGTTCGTCGTAAGTAGAGGAGTCCCTGTATTTGTGCAATTTGTGATAACAAAGTGATTTCCCTATGGCCCAACGACTGCAGCTGCGGCCTCAATAAATGTAATTTATAGATAAGATATGTGTATTGTACTTCATGGACCACAATGTTTTCAGAAAGCAAATGTAATAATAAATAAATAAAATTTTATTAATTTTTTTAAAATACTATAACGTAATACACTCAAGAGATAGCGAACAAATAATACGGAATTTAAAAATGTTTTGAATAATTCAGAGCGACATGGAGCTATTTTAATTTAGTACTATAATTGTAAAATATTGTTTTAATGTACAATCGTGTAATTTATATAAATAAGCTACTCAAGAGGAGATGTATCATAAGCTTAAAATTTTACAAATGCCTATTCTTGAATCCCTGCAGTCACGAAAGCTTTAAATCGAAATTTTACAAATACCTATTAAGCAAGATCAATATACCAATAGTATTGTCTCAGCTTACAGACGCTCTTACGATTCAAGCAGCATGTGAGATGAGAAATCTAATTCTATTCAAACAGATCCCAGTGTTGCAAACAGAGTACATTAAACATTCTCACTGCTGTCAATGTTGTGACAGTAAAGTTCTCATTTACTGGAGGTGACACGTGCTGTGTTCCAGGGCACAACATGTCCCATGCTGCCTCATGCTGATGTGATTGCACAAACATGTAACCGTATTAGATTTAACAATTGTACAGTTGTATCACTTGGGCGGTCAAATTAAAATGCCTCTACCGCCAGGCCAATCGAGATATGTACGCACAAAAAGAGGACCCACACAAACATCATTCTTAAAGAGGAGAGGACACATGCAAAATGAGAACATAAAATATGTGCATGCATGCATGAATACTTCATGTAAACCGCAGTCTTCTTGGTTCTTTCGGTAAAGTCACGTATAATGGAAATAATAAAATAATAAAAATAAAACATAATAAAATAATTCTCACGACGTTTCGGCCACAACGCAAGCAGCCGTCCTCAGGTGAAGAACAGTCTGTCAAGAAGACCGAAAGAACCAAGAAGATGAATCCCTGCAGTCACGAAAGCTTTAAATCGAAAAGTAAACCGCAGTGTTTTTATTTAGGGTACGCACACAGTGCCAGAATTGATTTGCGCTTGCCACTCCTTTCGGCTAATTTATGCTTGCAACTACTGCACATGTTGGCTAATCGCACCACTCACTCACACACTTTGAGCATTTCTCCTAAGTTTTCCTGTCTGATAGGAATCGCAGACGCATATGGCGTATAGATGAATGATATGGTAAATATTGCTACAAAATTTCAAGGAGTTTTCTGTAAATAATCAAAGCAATATCAAGGCAATGTGTATGTTTACATTTGTGTACTCTATCGATGTACACAACGTACGTGCAAATTGATGTGGACATCCTGGTTACCTTTGACACCATGTGGTTGCCATGCTAATCCTAAATGAGGAAGACACGTACTGTAGATACAGCAAATAATTACATACACAGCCTAATGTATCATTCTTGACGACACCTTGTAAAGACCATTGCAAATTCTGGTCAAAAACATCAATTAGACAAATAACAGTATTTATTTGTCAATCCATGGCTGGATGCGTATCGGTCACGGAGGTTGTTTGACTATACTTGACGATGCTGGTCAGTGTAAGTTGGTAAAGAGGGGTCCAGCACCAGCTCAGATATCACCTGCTACTGATGTTTTAGCGGTCGCTGACAATCAAACTCAGATTGCTTGGTTTGTAGTGAGCTATTCAATCTGCCAGCACCCCAGGTGGACGGATGGTCGACCTTTATTTATAACCCACATAAGAGGCCATTGAGACTCGAAGTCCTATTATCAAGCGAGACCTGAGTTGCCAAACAGATGGTGGAGATGTGCATATCTGTGTATCAACATTGCACTTAAGTAGTGAGGCTTGGGGTAAATCTCAACAAGCTATGAGTAATGAGGAGTCAGAACCCAGTCACACTAACATATGACATCGTAGGCAGCAAATAATAACAGCACCACAGCCTAAGATCCTTATGATATATATTAAACATTTAGCCACATTCTGAAAGTACCATTCCCAATTTCTAAACTCCTGCATCCCTTATGTGTTGTATGCAATTCAAGGTACTGTCACTATATGAACACATTTCCATCAAAACCAAGGGACTGCGTGTTTATCCACAGGCCTGTAGGTTTTGGGAAATAATTTCAGGAATATATCTCGATTATAATAAAGTTTAGAAAGCGGTGCACAAGTTAAGATTAGGGTGCTTCTTAGTATGGTGGATCAGTTTATTCGGTTTTCACAGCACAAATACGGAATCCGTTCAAATCAAGTTGCGAGCCAATATGTTCACTGTGTAGAAACTAAGCAACGTAGCCCCGTGTATTGTTTAAGGTGCAGTGAGTTGATGCACCTGTGTATGAGCGCAGACCAATTTGGTCAACGGATGTGGGATATAAAAGGAGCTTGCAATTTAGCGCTTGGATTCAGTGAGTGGTTGGGTGGAAGCATCATTTGCATCTTTTGCCAAGAAATATATTACAACCAAAAGTAAACTTGATCTCAAGAACAAAATATGCAAGGCCCCCAAGGGATCATGGGATTCCAAAGACAATCACAGAGGTCTGGCCCCAATCCAACATTCACTATAAGCACTGTTACAATTTAGTTGAATGTTGCTTAACAGATCTTGTATGCCCAGCCTCAACAATTTCAGCTGTCAAGCCGCTGAAGTTATGGGGTGCAAGAATCACGCACTGTGTGCATGAGTTTCAGCCACAGCATGCCAATGAGAGGCAGGCCTGCACCATTTACAACCCTTCTTAATAATAAACACATGCTGAATTAAAAAGCCGAAGACACCCACACATGCAACATGGGTACAGAATGTAATAGAGTATTTCTTTTTGACCCTTTGGGTCATGTTCCACCCTGTAATTGCTATTCGTTAGTCTGGCATTTGTTTATTAAAGTCCAAATTTTCTTAATTCATCTATCACGCAACACATACTGTTCTATTCCTTGCAACTGCGTTACTACAAGTATGCAGTAAAGTGTTATTAATAATATTGTCTGTTTTTGGTTGTTACTTTCATTCCAATACCACGTAGTACATTTCAATCATGACAGTACATGACTGCAACTGCAATTCCATCCAGTAAACGCTTATGAATACAATTGCCATCCAGCAGTGGATTAATCATGGCTGGTAATAATGATATAATAAAAAAAAATGTATTAAATCTATCTTCTTGGTTCTTTCGGTAAAGTCACGTAGAAGGGAAATAATAAAATAATAAAAAATTAAGCATTAATAAAAATACAATTCTCACGAAGTTTCGGCCACAACGCAAGCAGCCGTCCTCAGGTGAAGAACAGGTTTGTTGGAAAGACAGCGTCTTCACCTGAGGACGGCTGCTTGCGTTGTGGCCGAAACGTCGTGAGAATTGTATTTTATTACGTTTTATTTTTATTATTTTATTATTTCCCTTCTACGTGACTTTACCGAAAGAACCAAGAAGATGAATCCCTGACGTCACGAACGCTTTAAATCGGTATTAAATCTATTTTCATGATTTTTTAATGAAAATGCATAGGACAGCAGCTCTATCATACCGCAAGTTCCAGCAAAGTCAGACACATAATTTCTTCCACAGTGATTTTTTTTATTTAAAACACATTTGAAATACTGTACGTTGTTTATTTTGTGTGCCCAAAACTGATCTTTTGTAAAGTAACATATAGCAGATGTTTTGGTAACATGCTTGGAAAAAAGCCAAAATTAGTTATTTTTTTAATATGTGGTTTCTAGCACCGAGCCAAGACGCAGAGCGTATGTCTGCCCATCTGTACGTGCCAATAGGCAGCTACACATTTACCGGGAAGTGTTGCAAAGGCCTGTTTCATGAAACCTGTCTAATTCCCCACATTTGCTAAAACAGCCAAAGTGGATGTCTAGCAGAAATGTTATTCAATCACCAAATGTCTGCTGTAAAATAAATATATTGTCCAAAATGTGTTTCCTGTGCAGTATTATCCTCTACGGCCTATGTAAGTGAACCACTCCACTCCTTCTCACATTCATAGTGGGTACAAACAAGAATAATGTAATAATGTCCTTTATCCAGAAAAACCACACCGAGTCTCAACATTATTTTCAGACTTTTACAAATGCATCATCTACCAACCCTTGCCTCCAATACGTTGGATCACAATTGTGCGCAACCACAGCCGACTCAAGGTAAAGTAATGCACATTCCTGGCTTCTTGGAAACCAACAAGAATGGAAGATAGCCTTTGTATTCTTAGTTTTTTTCGGTAAAGTCACGTAGGTAAAAACATTAAAATTAACAAAGTAAAATAAAATAAAAATCACGACGTTTCGGAGGCAACACAAGCCTCCGTCTTCAGGTGGAACCGTCATACAGCTGTCGTGGCTGTGACGGTTCCACCTGAAGACGGAAGCTTGTGTTGCCTCCGAAACGTCGTGATTTTTATTTTATTTTACTTTGATTAATTTTAATGTTTTCACCTACGTGACTTTACCGAAAAAACCTAAGAATATGAATCCTTGCAGTCACGAAAGCTTCAAAGATAGCCTTTAATGCAGGGAGAACTGTTCTATAGCCACGAGGGCAAGGAGAGATCGTCTTGCTTATTACATAGATTCATCCACTCTGAACTCCATTGTTCTTTGGCTAACTCGATCATTGTTCCCTTTTAAACGCTCTCCCCAGACACTGTTGAGCAGAGCCTCTATAAGAACAGTATTACGTCCTTCACTGGAATTGCACAACATGTTCGGATTCTAACTCATCTGGTGTACATTGATCATGGGTCACATGCATAATAATGCCTTTCTGTTGACGGAAAGTACGACTAAAGGGCAAATTGCAAATGCCAGTAGACATTTTGCAAGTGGCAACTGCAATTGTTTGCGATTCCGGAGGCTTTACTCCAATCTTATTTTGGCATATATTGTCACAAAGTGGGTTTTATGTTGACACAAGGAACTCCTGTCACTTGCATAAAAGGGTAAAATATGAATTGAAGCTTTGCCTCTCGTGGTTTTTTTTTTACACGATGGACCTCAGTGGAACATCAGCATCATCATCGCTACGCTGAAGACTAAAGACTGCATTGGCAAAAAGACACCTGGCTACTACAAAAGTGAGTGTACCGCTGTTGAGGTTTCAGTCATGTTTATGTGCTAGAAAGTTTCATGGGATTATGTCCTCATTGCAGGAGAGTACTCGGTGAGCTGCCAGTGTTTAACGAAAGACAAATCTACTGCAAATTTTGGCCAGTCTGAAATATGGCAAACCTCACAAGTGCAGAATGTGTTAGAAAAAAGAGCATATTTATGGATAATCTATTAATAACCAATGGAAACACCATCAGCAACATTTTGGCATCTTGTTTTTCTATACACCAAAACTAGTATCCCAGATTATAAGTATACCACAATAGTGTATAGCTGCTGAATTAAAACATTACAATTTAAAATGACGAGGATGTGATAAGTGATTAATAAAGCCCATCGCTAACTTATACCGCCACAAGGTGTTTTCGTCTGCACTTTAGGCATATTACGTGACAGCAAATTTAAGTAAAAAAAAATAGAAAATCGACAACAGTGACTTTTGATTGCATGAGTTTTGTACTTACAGTGTAGACTTCGACACCCGTTGGGTCAGCGTTTCCTTCTGCGTTATGCAAGAACTTGACACAACAGCAGTAGGACGACAACCACAATAGTGTAAACATACTTTATATAAGTTCTCTAAGGTGTCCTTCATTTTTTTTAAGCCATACTTTTGCATGCATTGTTATTAATTATTTGACCCATATCTAATTGTTAAAATTGGTTATAACTACTCTTATTCGACTTACTGGTGAGCTGAAACAATGATAATTAGCGCACTAAACACTTGTGAGAGTGATAATTGACTTTGATGGGCTAAGTCAGTTGGTGGCGGGTTTTACAACAGGAATTTAGCCAGATCATTACGCGGCATTACCCAAAAACTATTTTGAATTAATAGTGTCTGCAAAAACCCCGGTTAAGTTATTTTACTTATGTTCTATAAAGTTACGTACAACAAGCTGACGAAACCATTTTGGTTATCTGTTGGAAGGACGCCATTGTAAAACACATCACAATATGTATAGATAGGGAGGTTATTAAAGATGGATCAGGATGGAAATCATGAAATAGAGAGGTGGACAAAAATAGCTTGGAGTGCTTTTGGAAAACGGAACTTAACGATGAAAATTTATTTTCTAAACTAAGAGTTTTCAATAAATGCATGTCACCTGGTATGACATAAAGATGGACATTGACAAAGAACGTGAAACAAAAGGGAAAAAATGCATTAAAAAGCATTTCATGTGCATGCTTGGAATTACACGGAGGCACAGGAAGGATAAAAAAACACGCAAGCAAGAGACATCGTATTGACTGTTAAGGAAAGGGAAGTGGACTTGGGCAGGGCACTTCATTAACAGGGATGATGACCGAGGCCGAAACTAGCAACAAAGTGATCGTCGAAGGAGAGAAGACACCCGACGTGACATTCGCAGTGAGGTTGAGGAACGAGTATCAGCTTGAGTGCAGAAGCCAGACGTATTATTCTTCTTCTTGGTTCTTTCGGTAAAGTCACGTAGAAGGGAAATAATAAAATAATAATAAATTAACATAAGAAAAATACATTTATATTTATTATTTTATTATGTCCCTTCTACGTGACTTTACCGAAAGAACCAAGAAGATGAATCCCTGCAGTCACGAAAGCTTTAAATCGAAATTTAGATGTATTCTTGTCATGTGAGACCATAGGAGATGGTGATGGCTTGGAGAGACCTTCATCCAGCAGTAAAGAGACCGTGGCTGATTATGATATAAATATATCCTATAGCAAGACTGGCTCACACCATGTAAATGTGGTATTGCCAACACTGTGGGGCAGGGCCGACAACTAAGATGAGCATTAACTAAAGCTAATTTTCATACTAGCGTTAGCGTCACTAAGTGTGCTGTCATGCAATAATGTGTGCATTTCCAATCAGAACTCTAAAGGATAGCCATGTAACATTATCCCTTATTAAAGCATGGCCTGCCGAAGTTGACATTACAGAACCACTTCTGAGTTCCTTTGATATAAGATTGGATGCTCCATTAGATGATACACCTTCTCACATGCCTGGATAGAAAGATGTTCATCACATACATATTCAAAATATTGTTTGTACAAAATATTTGCTAGTTGCTAATTACTAATACTTTTTTACATTTAACATTTAAATGTTGTGTCAATGCAAGTTTAAGTTTGCTGTCAGGTCAAATTATTAAAATGCAAATCCAGTACTCTGTATATGCTAAATTGATCATGAGTGACGTATCTGTGTACTGATGTTAGCGTCACTCATCCAGATCTACCATGGACTTAATCGAACACGTGGTGCCGGCTGTCAGCTGCCTGGTGGTCGTGCTCGCCCTGCCGCTCAACCTCGTGGCCATCTACATCCTCTGTGCGTGCATCAAGAGGAAGTCCTCCACCACCGTGCTGATGATCAACCTGGCCGTAGCAGATGTCCTCTTCGTCTGCTGCCTATTCTTCATCATCCCGTACTACTTCAAGGGGAACGTGTGGGTCTTCGGACTTTTCCTCTGCCACTTCGTCTACACGGTCTTCTTCACGACCACCTACGTGAGCATCCTGTCCGTGATGGCCCTCTCTGTGGACCGCTACTTCGCCATCCTGTACCCCATCAAGTCCAAGGTGTGGAGGAACAAGGTGTGGGGCTGCATGGCGAGTGCCATCACTTGGGTGATAGCATTCATGCACGTTGTGCCTATGAACGCGACCAAGATGATGAATATCAACACAGATCACAACACGAGCGAAGCCTCCTCCTGCTGCGATAATTTCGCCCCAGATGACCTGGAATTCATAGCGAGACTGCGGTTAGTGTTGTGCATTACCTTGTACGTGTTCCCACTGTTCGTCACATCCTACTGCTACGCCTCCATCATGAAAGTGCTCCTCTCCAATAATGTGCTCAACATGGGGCAAGAAAAGAAGACACGTGCCATTAGGCTGATCATAATTACGATGCTCATTTATCTGTTTTGTTTTGGTTGCTACAATGCTACGCATGTCATCGGTTATGTGAACCACCTTAACTTATGGTGGCGCCCGCTGTCACTTGTGTTCAACACTCTTAACTGCATGCTGGACCCTCTCATCTACTACTTTGCCTCAACAACTTGCCAGGAGGTGCTCAAAGAATACTTCACTAAAAGAACACAGTCCAGCAATGGCAACGAAGCAACTCTAGCGACCTAGAGTGGAACGCAAATGGATATGCTTCACTTAGATGCAGTCTCAGTGTGTCGCAAGCATCAATGGAAAAGGTAATTTTCTTCAACCGAATGAATCATCACTTTCTTCCCCATGATGACTTCGTCCATAGATCTTAACTGGTAAAACAAGCAGCTCGCCAGTTGGACTGCTGACAATTGTTTGAAATGTCAATCTTTGTGTACTGTATTTATGCACATATTTTTGTCTATTTCATGAAACACCATACACGATGTTTCCCTAGTTCTTGGTTCTTTCGGTAAAGTCACGTAGAAGGGAAATAATAAAATAAAATAAAATCAACATAATAATGTTAAGTTTTCTTTTTATTACTTTAATATTTCATTATTTGCCTTCTACGTGACTTTACCGAAAGAACCAAGAATATTAATCCCTGCAGTCACGAAAGCTTAACATCGAGATGTTTCCCTTAGTTTATACTGACGTGGGCTTTTACCACAACGAGTTAATATATGAGGTTAGGGTAGGCTATGTGGAGGAATATCACAACCAGAAACACCAGCATGGTGTTCCAATGACCTCGTGGTGTGACGAATTATGGGGGGGGGGGGGGGTGGAGGGATTATACTCATTGCAACCATATTTTTAAACATATTTTCTGTTGTTCGACTTGGTTAGTCATGAGTCCACAATGGTACGTATGTAATTCTAAATTTAAAGTTTTCGTGACTGCAAGGATCCATACTCTTTGGTTCTTTAGGTAAAGTCACGTAGATGAAAAAAAAGGAAAATAACTAAATTAAATCACGACGTTTCGGAGGCAACACAAGTTTCCGTCATCAGGTGGAACAGCCACGTCTGTATATGGTCATTTCAAAGCAGACGTCTCAAGTCTCAGGCATTTGGGGTGAGACTCGTGCATTTAATGTCTATCACACAATACCAACATTCATGCATTTCACATCTCGTGAGAATTGGTACGCTTAGGAGCGCCTTAAAAGTTCCACCCGGTAGGTCTCACACCGCCCACTGGCCAAACGCACGCATTGCCCATCTTCTGGACAAACAACTGCATGGCAACGTTTAACGTCGTTGTGATCGCGGTCCACCTTTAAATACTGCCCAGGGTATGCATATTTTGACGTGTTTAAAGTTGTATCCCTGCAACAGGATTTTTTGATTTGCTGGGAAAACTTGTAGTATGCGACTTTTGTTCTGACAATTTTATCTTGAACTTTGCAACCTTCTTTATTAAGACCTTTAATCATTTCCATCGGTTGGTACAATGACGATGCCATAAGGAAAAAAATCTGAGGTTGTAAATATTTTCTCCATTTTACGTTAATGCCTTTATTTCTCCAATCCAATTTTTTTTCAAAACATCTTCCAATGCAGCTGTGAATAACTTTGGCGAAGATCTTCTTGCCCGCCTCTCTTGCCGATATAGTTTGTTGCATTTCTCCATGTAAACTCAGTATAGATTTCTTGGTTTTGCTTATATAAGGGGCCGTCCATAAATGACGTCACGCACCTGGGGGGGGGGGGGTCAGACATTTGTGACGATGTGTGACGAGAGGGGAGGGGGGGTTTGAGAAATGTGACGTCACATCAAAATGCGCAACTTTAAATAAATATAGACAACACGTTCTACTTAATTAAATATACTTTTTAACAAATGTTTTCTCCTACAACATCAGAGTACAGCGCCACATTAAATACACACTACAATGACAATAGCTTAAAGCGATTTGAAGCATGTTTTATTTTTTTGGGGGGGGGGAGGGGGGCAGAGCTTTGTGACGTCATATTTTAGGGGGGAGTCTGAATTTTTTACGCCGTGTGACGAGGGGGGGGGGGGGTCAAAAATCGTCCAAAATCGCGTGACGTCATTTATGGAAGGCCCCTAATAACTGCAAACATTTTCACTGAATCGAAAGGGAGAGTACCATCTACAGCTACCAACCACCAAGCAACAACGTGGTCTGGCATATTTGTTTCCGTTTGATTTTGGGCAATATATTTCATAAACCTATTTGGTATATCCTCAATTACTGCCAACATATATAATATCACGCTTATGATATGCGGTCAAAAATTGAGGATTCGATAAGTTTCGTAAATGTATTGCTAGAGATCATACACATATAACTAAATACGGCAACAAATAGCGTACGATATTTAGCTACACATTGGCTGTGCTTGCCAGACCAGAGTTATCGATCGCACTATTCAACAATTGAACATGCTGCAAATGATATAGCTGCGTGGTTTGTTGTTGATTCAAAAGGCAGCAGTATAAAATAGGCATTGAGATGCAGAATTGTTTTTATATTTTTGATAATTGAACATGTTTAATACCTCTTGATTTGTTTATTTCATGCTGTTAATCATTGACGACACATAAAATAAGTGATTTGATATGTTGTCGTTAATTTAGAATATACGAAATAAGTTGTGAATTTCTATTGTCCAAAATTAAACATATAAAATAGCAACATATATCATGCCACATGCATGCGGTCTTTTGAGGACTATATACAATGTGACTTCGGTGCAATCGATAAGGTGTGCTTGTATATTGGTTATATAAAGCTCACGATTATTGTATCGAGACGCGCATGTACACATCTTTCAGTTTTCAGTTTCATTTATTTGGTGTAGCCCTGTGAGCCATTCGGCTCTTGAATCGGGTGCTACCGCAACAAACAAAAAACAAAAACATGAACAGCAAAACATCTTAAAGTGAATATGTGACTATGTGCAAACAGAAAATCCAAGAAAAGACCGCAAAATATTGCAGAAAAAGCACCGTACACCAACGCTGTGTGCACAAATCCCAGTGGGATGCAAGTCAAACAACAACAACAAGACAACTTAGATTAAGGCCATCAGTCTAACTCCGTACTACAACAAACATGGCCAAACCAAAAAACTTTTCGAAATCACCAAAATAAAGCCATAAAAATCGAAGTGTTGAACTGGGTTCGCGTAACCCCCTCCAGCCACTAGAGGCCGCTGCATCGGGAGAGATGTCATTTGTTACCATCCTAATACCTGAACGGCGAAGGCGCTTGGGAGGCTTTCATCCCGGGGTGAATCGGTCACGGTTGTTGATGATCAAACTGTGATTGGGCAGTATACGACTACTACTATGGTTCAAGCAAGCCTGACTGCTGATGAGACACTGTATGTCGAAACTGGTCCTGTGTTCATCTTCTTGGTTCTTTCGGTAAAGTCACGTAGAATGGAAATAATAAAATAATAAAAATAAAACATAATAAAATAATTCTCACGACGTTTCGGCCACAACGCGAGCAGCCGTCCTCAGGTGAAGAACTAGTCTGTCGAGAAGACAGCGTCTGAAGTCTCTCCATTCTACATGACTTTACCGAAAGAACCAAGAAGATAAATCCCTGCAGTCACGAAATATTTAAATCGAAATTTGGTCCTGTGTTGCTTGGACTGAACCAATACGGCTGCAATTACGCACACTCAAGAGGTCATGGTGGTTGACTGGAAGTGGATGGACAGACGTACGAAGGAGATATGTTGTCGGCTAATTGATTTTGTTTTATTTCCACAACTACGCTAATGATTGCAGTATCTTGTGTCGTGTGGACCAGTGGTTCTTACCCGGGAGCACGTGGACCCCTGGGGGTACGTGGCAATGTCCCAAGGAGTACGCGAGGTGATTTATCAATGCGTGAAATTATATCGTGCATGACAGTCATTGGTGAATAATCGCGTATGAATCTGCCAACATAACAGAGCTAATAAAAATGTAAATCCATAAGGTAACCGAGAACAACATTGAATAACGTTCTAAATGATTTCCTTGTAAACAATGTGGTTTCCAAGAGTAACGCTTGCAAGTTACTAGCCAGTTAGGATACAGTACTTCACAAAATGGATAATTTGTAACAAAATTAATTTATTTATACATTAATTTATTTCTCAGAAACACGTTGGGTCATGCAAGAGGGTTATTCGGTTGAAACAAAATTCAAGAAGGGGTTATAATGGCAGTGGCCGAAAAAAATGTCCAGAAACATGTGATGATGTGAAGGAATAATCTCAGGTTCACTGCGAGTGGTGGCACCATCTGGTTCTTGGTTTATAACAACCACACACCGAGTCTCGCCGCTTGCAAGCCACTAGAGACGCTACAATTACATGTGCAACGGGTACAACAACAACCTATGCTGGAGACAATCGAAAACGCCAGGTGCTTCCACGAGAGGGGAGGGGGTGGTTTGTGAGAATCGTTCAAGGTACCCTCCTGCAACCTTCACGGGAACATAATATAATGGAAATAAATCGAGTTGCAGGAATTTTTAAAAAACCAGACCGTTTCAGGCCGGAGCGGTGCTGCGATTCACAATGCGATCACCACGAGTTCAATCTCTGATCAGTGTTCAATGAGCTCATCATCTTTTCGGGAGGTCAATAGAATAGGTACCAACTCAGCCACGATATCTCTGAACCGCCACTTGTCTGGGAGGCAAACACTGTCGTACTAAACACACACTGGGAGCTTAAGCTACCATCGAAATGCGACACTTCCACACGCGCCAGCGACTCGGTCAGTCGCGGGTCTCCAACAACAATCCAGTTGAGGCTCAACAACATCAGTGGAGACCGTCTCTCACAAATCACCTCAAGTTTGTGATTGCGTGAACATTTACTTACCACTGTTCTGAAGAGTGTGTGCTCTCACGGTCTGGCTTTTAGGTGTTCTTTTAGGTGTTCTCCTCGGTGTCAAATGCGAGTTTTAAGTTCGGTTGTTGTTGTTGATTTCGTCTCTATTTTGATACAGCAGTCGTGCTGTGACGGTTCCACCTGAAGACGGAAGCTTGTGTTGCCTCCGAAACGTTGTTATTTTTATTTTATTTTTATTTTACTTCTATTAATTGTAATTTTTTTTACCTACGTGACTTTACCGAAAAAACCTAAGAATATGAATCCTTGCAGTCACGAAAGCTTCAAATCTAGAATTATTTCATCTCTCTTCACGCACCACAGCCACACGCGCGCGCATCGAGGGGGGCCACCTCACCCAGGACGACTCAAACTCCGGGCGATGGACACCACATCGAGTCATCGCGATGACTGATTAGGGGCCATCCATTTAGTACGCTTGCGTATGGGGGGGGGGTCTACTGACAATGTACGCATAGGAAACGGAGGGGGGGGGGTGAAGCCTCGATAATAATGTGTCTACATTGATCTTCAAATGAGTTAGATAGTCCGGCGGTGGACTATCTGTTTGTTTAAACACGTTTATATAATTAATCTTTGATCGTTTCTGCGTGGATTAAATATCGGCCGTTCTATAGGATTCGGGGGGTGTAAAAAGTCCGCGTGCGTACAGGGAGGGGGGGGGTCAAGTTTTGACAGATTTTTGCGTTACGTCCTAAATGGATGGCCCCTTTGGGTCGACGAAATCGATTAGTAATCGATGACTTACTGCCGTAGTACCTCGGTTAACGTTTTGAAAACCCGCTCCACGAAAACTAGCGTTCATCGAAATAACTGTTCGTCGAATAATAGGAATTGCATGCATAGCTGTCAACCCATAGGGTTTAGCCGTAGTCGTCTGCAGGGCAATTGAGTTTTCAGGTCCATACGCGCGTACAACCGTTTCAATACTAGCAACAGCAACAAACATGTCAATCTGTGTCTCTCCCTTGTGATTGACCTTTAAAGAATTAACGTTGACATTTGAGCCGTTTCCCACTGCCAAAAAAAAAGTCAAATGTAAACAAAGCCGGTCGGGATCTAAACGCTGATGAATGGGCGTCGCTGATTGGCTGAGGGCATGCTCGTAAACGTGCCGTTCGTCGACACGTTAGCGTTCGTCGACACGTTCGCGTTAGTCGAAGCACACAGGATCCTGTGGGTAGGCGAAACGTAACCCGAAATCACCGTTGACCGATGTCACTGTTAACCGAGAGGACCGCTGTATTTGGATGACTGGGTACGGCAGTTGGCGGCAAGGGTGGCTTTATTTGGAAACGAGGTGGGGGTTCGTGAAAGGGAATGTCAAATCTTCGTCTTCTTTTTCCTATGGCTGGGGAAACAGCTACAGTTTGGTGTCGATGTTAGCGATCCATTCAACGGCTTCAGGTGAGGCACAGCGAGTGGTTGCGATTCCACCTGCAATGGATTTCTCAGAGCAGGAGCTTCAAAACGTGGGCGATCGTCTGACCTGGGTGATCGCCAGTGACAATTTGGGCTGCTCCCTCATGCGGAGCAAGTGGCCACATCTTCCCTGGCCTGTCCTCAAGCGGTTGAAGGTTGTCCGATGTTTCCATGGGAGGTTGGACCCTGGGATTTCACTGCTCTGGCCAGTTACCGAGTTGCAGTTGGTGATGTTTGCGGTCAACCAGCAGAGTGCGTCGTCGAGATGTCGGACTGTCATCAGTTCGTAGGGGTTGGAGTGTATTCCAGTCGGGACTGCGGGATTTTGGATGTGTGCGTGGGGCGGGGGGAGTTTTGAGGTCGCCGCGGTGGCGAGATGTTAACTACCTCGCTTGATATACAAGAGGTCGTGGGTTCGATCCCAACCCTGACGCCTGTATATTTGGAGTTTGCATGTTCTCCCCGTGGTCGCGTGGATCTTTCTCCGGGTCTTACCTCCGCAATTAGAAATATGACTGCGAGATATTTCCACATGATAAGCCAGTTGATTTGAGCTATTATTTGTGGCCAGGTTACTTCTGAAATAAAGCTATTTTGTTAGTGGGCTTTACGTGGTAACATAAAGCGTTATTTGCCTAGTTGAGGTCGTTTGCCAGTGGGAGTGCTTTGTTGGCCGACAGCCGGTGTTGTTATTTTAGAAATGTTTTCCCGTCCAGACGTCTGGAGGTTCAATGCGGGCTTGTGCAGGAAGCCACTCAAGCTGTGTTGGTCTCCGTGCTCCAGAGATGGCCCTCTTTGCTGCCCGGAGGTTGGTATCTGGCAGATCGAGCCGTGGTACAAAAAAAAATTGTGGACTCAACCTCACCAATCACCCGCCCGACAATTGACAATCGGACGCAACGGACAGAAAGTAATGGAGGTGTTGGTCAACCAATCTTTCAATGAACCTCAGTTCCGTTACGTGTCGAGTCGGTCCCACTCACATCCTCAGACGTGGTAACGTGGACAAACCTAGCCAGGGGCTGTGCCCCCCCCCCCCCCAAAAAAAACACGGGCAGCGTGGCGCGGTGCAGGAGGGGAGTGGGGTGGAGTGTGCGTGTGTCGTGCAACGGTACGAACCCGGCGACCCGAGTTAGATTCCCGCTCACGGCCACCAACACCAGTGACGATTATCAGAACCGGTCATGGGGAGAGAAAGGCGGCCGGGCATGGTGCAGACCCACTCGTTGTTCCGTGCCGGCCTTTATAGGTGCAACTCGCGAACAGCACTTGCTATTTCTAGATTTGAAGCTTTCGTGACTGCAAGGATTCATACTCTTAGTTTTTTCGATAAAGCCACGTAGGTAAAAAATGAAATAAAAATAAATAAAATTATTATTTTATTTATTATTATTTTATTTCATTAATTTTAATTTCATTTTTTACCTACGTGACTTTACCGAAAAAACTAAGAGTATAGCGCCTGCTATATCGGCGGGGGGTTCTCGGCCAGGTACCCACCCCCCATTATTCTCCCCATCCTCCAATGCCGATCAACATTCAGTGAAAGATAGTTTTTTTCTATAATCGAGAGTAATCTGTAGATTCATCGACTCGTAAAACATTAATCGATTACTGGGGAATTTTGTTAATGTAATCGAAGTTATGTATTCTTCGTAATTCATTATAATCTCTTCTAATCCATTCGAATCGATTACCCCCCCCCCCCCCCCCCCATTACGCCCATCCCGACTCAAGTGTCTCACTTTAAATGATGATCATCAATGTAGTCGAGTTCTTTTTACATTAGGTGTCCCTTTGTAATGTCGACGCAGAGAAACGAGAAAGTGCCACCTGTTCACATATTAGTGACGTCGCTGCAATGTCACGACGGCGCTATGGCGGCCACCATTGAAAGTAATTTTTTAAGTATTTTTCACATCACTTAATCTTCAATATCGTCACCATTGGAACCTCATTTGCCAGTAGCAAAATATGATAATAGTTTTTTTTACCCTTTTATCTGGCAACAAAACTGACACCTTTTTTAATGCTTACCCCGAGCTCTCATACTCTGATGGTGCATTGTCTTTGAGTTGTGCGCCTTTTGGCGTCAACTGGTCCAACACCATGTGAGACGAGGCTCTAAGGAAAGCTGTCTCGGGTGTGGACCAATCAACTTCAAGGACAGTTGCATACATTATCAGAGTTGTGTTTTTTGTTTGCATCCCGACTGCAGGTATTGTGGTCAATGCAAACATGACTCCTTGTAAAAAAAAGGTGTCAGTTTTGTTGCTAGATAAAAGGGTAAAAAAACAATTATCATACTTCAATATCGTGTCATTGTCACGGGCAATGCGTCGTACTGCAACAGGTTTTCAAGATTCTTAACATTTCATTGTTAGCTTACTGAAAAATAACCCGGGCCCTGTTGATAGAATCGTTTTACCATCATCTTACCCAACGTTGCATTTGGTATCGATAGTTCCTGGAAAAATATTTCGCGACAAACTAAAATGACTGTATTCACGAAAAATGCAAAAGACAATTCACTGACCCCCTTATTGTTTTTTTTATTTAAAGCTCGACTGTCAACGTGTGTTCAGTTAAACCACCGGCCATTCTACGAGTAGCCACAATCTAATTAGATACAGCATGTTCTGGATTTAAAAAAAGAGCTGGTAGCAAAATACACTTAATGGTATTTTTCCGTGTGCAGTTCTTATAAGTTATCTACATTTCTCACGTTACTACACTACTTGTGTGAATATGCAATTATTTACAACAGTTTTGTGTTTTAAATGGAACCCAGGGTGACTCATGATAAACATGACATGCAACTGCCGTATGTGTGTGTGTAAACCAGCAGTCAGTTACATTAAACCACTTAAGGGCATGCCCTTGGGGGTGGGAACTGTGGCACCGATCCGTGCACTGCGCTGTGCATCCTGCCACCTGAGTATGATTCCTGGCCAGAGCGAATATCAGTGGCGAGTGATAGCTGGATCGGTTTTGTGCCAATCCCTTCAACAGACACGTAGCAGCGTGGTAAATATCGTTAAAGCCCCCTTATCAAGCAGTGGCCTGACAAAGGGGCTGTACATTTTTGTGTTTTATGCAACATGCCCAGCTCGTCAGTACTACCAAAGTCTACATTTGGCACATCCATCAAGTTAACAACTGTATAGGCTACATCTCTGTTTTGAATGCAGCATGTCATTTATGGATGCTATGCACGCAACTGAAATGGCCTTCCCTGCTTGCATTAAAAAGCCCTTTTGCAACAGCTGGTGTACAGATCTTTGCAACATGAAAGTGAGCGTCAATAAAATTACGAAATCACAATTCCCAAGAGAATTTGAACATATACAAACCATCCCTTACAATAATGAAAAGATATGAGCTGTCAACGATCAGCTTTTTATCAATGTTTTTTTAAGGAAACAACCATGTAAGTTCACCCTCAATAATTATACACAAACTTACAATGTAACATACATCTTCAGCGGTATTCATAATCGAACGTAAAAATGTGTTAAACCATTACAAGTATACACAAATAAACGGCCGCACAGAGGCGTGCACCTTCAAAACCGCCTGTAAAGCGTCATCCCTTCACCGCCTGTACACACAGACTAACTCGGCCATCCCTCGGTCAGCATTGGCAGGCGGTAGCACGTTCAACTCCGAAACCCTCTCTACCCGTGACCCGAATTAACTATTGGGTGTCCCTGTGGTCCTATCATAATGCTGACCATTCCGAGGCACCATGGCTTGCAATTACACATACTCCTAGACTATAGCATGTGTATATACTGCATACACAGTACACCACAATGCAATCCTCCATTACAGTTTTGTTAGAGAAGTTACACGGATAACAGTGATGCAGCAGTTTGCTCGCGTTGCTCATCAGTCACTGAAGAGTGCCCAGAGTTCCATCACGTGGAGCCTCAAGGTGCTGGTGGTTGTCACTGGTTCACTGAGTGGATTCGTGCTGAGTCGATGCACATGTCCATTTTTTTTAAAGTTCAGTTCAGCCATATGCTTGACAGTATAAAAACGCACACACACCACCAATGAATCATTTAATATTTTTTTGGTTTTGGCAATGGAAGAAATGCGTTGTCTCCTGCCATTCTACCATTTAATGCGTTATGTTGCCTGCTTAATTTCACGTAATTTGAAAAATTTTAAGAAAAACATATTCAACCTCTATACATCCCTGTACTTACTTATCAGAATAGATTAAGTACCAAATATGTTCTTAATAAAAAACATTACAATGTAAACGTTTTAAAAATATATACAGTATAAAATGCTTTAAAATAGCAGTTTAGAATTTGCAAAGTAAAGCAAAATTACATTAAAAAATTAGTGAATGGGCAAACTCCACGAGTTGGAAACAAAGCGCTGTCAACCCATACGGTTTACCCGTATTTTTGTACAGATAAATGGAGTTTTCAGGTCCATACAGCATACAGCCGTTTCAATACGAGCAAACCACATCCTTTGTCTATTTGTTTGTGTTTCTCCCTTGTGATGGGACTTTGTAGGATGAACGTTGAGATTCATAAGGGCACGGGGTGACCAATAAGATCTAAATTGGTCTGGATTAAGGTAGGCACTGATAAGGGGTTGACAGGCATGGGGACACGTGAGGAAGAAGTCGTGAGAGAAAGCATGCATGTCACTGATGTGTGGGATACACTCTTGCATGAGCAACACCAAACACACACGCAACAAGCCATCTGGCCATCCGCCAAGACTCGCCTTGTTTTGATTTTATATCTGCACTTAACTTTGTACAGTAGAGTTTCATCCGATATTGTCTCTGTCACTGCTTTTTGGGTCTCATTGGACACTCACATAGTTCTAAATAAAGGTCACTGGGAGACTCGGCATATTGACTTTACAATCTCAATAGCCTAAATAGCCTAACTAAACGATGGCAAGCATTTGTTGTGGCGGCCATCCTGGTGCTTGCTACCTCAATGCTGACAATAATCACAGTCACAAGTGAGAAATGGTAGCCTAATAAAATCTGGTTTAATGCACAGTCTCATTGTTGCGTGGGAATTTATCTGTGAACCAACCCTAGAATGATGTGCCAAAAATAATTACTTGCAGCAGCCTGGGGATAAATGCTTCTGCATTCCCGTTGAAAATAATTTGATCCTCGAACTACGAAAAAATAAGCACTCCATATGTGCGGACAGACGATATGGTGCAGAGTCAAGCGCTGACTGCTGCATTTCTTAAATGTCCCTCCTCCATCCATCTCCACTGCTTGCTTCCATTCTCCATTTCAGTTTTCCACCAAATACTCGGCTTGGTCCAAGGGTCTTCCTCGACAATCCCAATCCCAACTAATCTCTGAGTCCATTCAAAGGGATGTGAGCTAACCTTTGATTTGGACGATCTCATTCACTGTGGACGGGACTGGCGGTGAAATGTGTTGGTGGCAGCTGCGTTTCCCTCCGTACGACTGTGCAGCGCTGACGACTCATTAAGACCATCGCCGACACCCGTAATCAAGCCCACGTGAACACAACCCAAAGGTGAAGTGACCATTGGGTCGAATTGCTACTCCTCAAATGAAACAAAATGTAAAATGTCCACATTATTTTATTCATCTTTTGATTGCTTCGGTTGTAATCTGAAAACAAACATACTGTAAAAAAAAAAGCAAATATACTCAAGAATAAACCATCGAGTGAAAGGTTTGTTGCAATGTCTCTTGCGCCCTGCCAGAGCGATAAAGTCGCAGTTCATTCCTTTGTTCGTGCAAGCAGCTGCAGGTCCTGCCCAACTTTCAAATGGCAGGCAAGGCAGGCAGACATCCTGCAAACGCACCGATGTGCAGGGCCAATGTCCACGCTGCCATTTCTCGCGTGCCAGCGGGGCGAGCGGTTGAGTGAGCGGGTGGGTGGGCGCGTGGGTGGTTAGAGGCGCGTTATGCGCTGCGACTCGCCGTCCTCCGCGTCGGAGTCGATAACATCGGGCTGCCGCTCGGGCACAAGGTGCGCGGGCACGCAAGTCTTGCTCGTGCGCGCAAACTGCATCCAGCGTGCATCGTCGCTCTCGTGCGTCAGGTAGCGCGTGCCCAGGCGCGTCTCCAACGTTCGCAGGTCCAGCCACGTTTGGAAGTCCTGCGAGTGGAACGTGGACACCAGCAAGCAGTGCACGAGCATGCGGGCACGCACGCACGCCGATCATAGAGGCAAGTGTTAGCGCAGTCCCAATCACAGCAAGTGAATATCAAGTTCCAGAAGCGCTGGAACTGAAGTTGACAAGGTACATTGCAATTCACCGACTAAAATCAATTGTTACATTCGCAATAAATTTGCATCGAATCGCGTGCGGAAAATGTATTATTTTAAAGTCGTATATTGTGATCGATTGGTTTACATGATCCCTGCTGCTACTCGAGCATTAAACTCCTACAATGTTTAAAACGAAATTTATTCTTCAATTGTGACTCTGAATGGACTGTAAATCACGGAGATTCGCTCGAGTTTTACATCTGCATTAGGTGTGTGCGGGGATCTTTACCTGCAGCCACGGATGGCTGAGCGATTTGTCCACACTGAAGCGCTGCCTTGTGTTCACCTGCAGCAGGTGTGAAATCAAGTCGATGGCTAAAAAAAAAACACACACACAAATATTAATTGAATGGAAAAAAAAAACGTTGAAGATGGTACCGCAAACGTGTACTGTGTACAGTCCTTCTGGCTAATCCACTGCTGGATGAGGGGCTTCCTCACACCATGTGGGTCGTGGGACTCATTGACAATCCTTGAACCCGCTGGTCATTGTGGGTCGCCAAATTCATGGGAAGCGCAGACGTAGCATAGAACAGTACAAACATTATTTTGCTACATTGCCCTCTACTGAAAATGTAGGCCTGCAACAGTTACAGTTACACCACATAGACATACTACACTTGGTACGGGTGGTTAATGTATCAGGGTGGCGAAGTAAATTGTATGTGACGTACAAAAGACACATGGAACAAGCTGGAAGTGAAAATGACGACACATGCACCGCAAGGCAATCCCCCGTCCCCACCTACCATCGGGCGAGTTCTCCTTCCACGGGTTGGCCGGGAACATGAAAGCGGCGTTCTGGATCTGCTCGTTGATGTCCTCGTCCTCGTTGAAGGGGAAGGTGCCGCTGAGGCTCACGTAGATGATGACGCCCACCGACCACATGTCGAGCGAGCGGTTGTAGCCCTGCTTGCTGCGGATCACCTCGGGCGCCAGGTAGGCCGGCGTGCCCACCACGGAGCGGCGGAACGACTTCTCGCCGATGATGCGCGCGAAGCCGAAGTCGCACAGCTTCACCTGCCCGTCCGAAACGCAGTGGCGTGCGGCGAAAGGGGATCGAGGGCGAGAGGTTAGGTGGGAAGGAGCGACGCGGCGAGAGTCGGGCCCCCCCGCGTTGGTGGGGCAAAAGGAAGCGTGGGTTTTTATGACGTCGGCTCGAATGCCGACGTCGTGAGAGAGCGTGTGCCGACCTGCGGGAAGGGCTCCGAGGAGGCGAGCAGCACGTTCTCGGGCTTCAGGTCGCAGTGCACGATGTTCTTGAAGTGCAGGTGGCGCAGCGCCATGAGGATCTGTCGACAGAGCGGCAAGCAGCCGGCACGTTTACTTGCAATGCAAACTACCAATACCAGCCCACCTGTGATGTAGGCATGCTGGAAAAAAATACCTACAACCAGCCTGCCTACACCACAGGTGTTTCATGCTGCATGGCCAAGCGTTGAGCTCGCATCTTCGCTTCCGACACAGACACGCAAAACGCACTTTTGCACGCAAAATAAACATCTGTGCAGTGGGCCATAGAAGCCTTGCGGGGGAGGGAGTAGATGTCATTTATAATGAGCAGGTAAGTATTTTGAAGGTGTGCGCGGGCCCCACCGCCACCTAAATCCTGAGCCAACACTGCACCTGTGAGATGAAGTACTTGGTAATGCGCTCGGGCAACCGGCCACGTTCGCTGGACAGGATCATCTCGAGCATGTCCCCGTGCAGCTTCTCCATGACCACAAAGACACGCTCCGCCGTCTCGAACATGCTCTGCAGGTACACCACGCCCGGGTGCTGCAGGCTCTGTGGGGGTGGAGGGGGCACACACCGTACATCAGGTTTGTTTTGTTTAATCAGGTGCGAACTCAATAGAAACCAGGATAGTCTTATTTGCAAGAGCGACCTGGGGGTCACCACACACGACAATGTTTCACGTAACGTAAATGACAGCAGTGAAGTAAATACAGCTGTGTCAGAGAATAAAAAGAGAATACTTGCACAAACGTGAATCGATATGAAATAATAATAATAAAAACAACTCCTGTAACGCAGAGACGGACGCGAACAACCGCGCGCGACGTCCACACCGCCACGCGCTCGTGCAAAACACGCGCTCCGCAGATTCACTGCACACCTTCATAAAACGTCTCGTGAGCTGATGTCGCCGGGTTATGAGGTTTGACGGTTGGGTGCGCCACGCACAACGACTGCCCTGGGTGTGGGCACTTAAGTGTGCAGCTTTCGTTGAAGACGTCGCAGATGAGAATGCGTTATAGCCAAGGTTGTTAAAAACAGCAGGTTGAAATGAGGGGCATTTTGGGCGTTGGCCCTTTCCTTTACAGAATATGCTCGAAATGTCACCTATTTTCTATTCTCATTTAAGGGCAGTGTTATCGACAAATGTGTCGAGGTTTTTTGTTACGTGTCCTTGTGCCCCACTGCCAATGGAGCAGCCACCAAATAATTTGTTTGCATGGAATGACTGCTGCTACCACGTTATCCACGATCCACCACAACAGTGCATGTTACATGTTGTACTTTTGCTTGCTCTGCTGAACAGGCTGATGGAGCTCCGTGGCATTCCTCTCGTTTTAAGACGACACTCTGCTGATGGCACTTAGAAAGTTTAGTGCAGTCCAGAATGTTCTCATTTTTTTAAAAAGTGATGCTAGAAGGCACACAGGCTGATGGACGAATTTATTTTGGTCTATTTAAAGTGGTGAAACAGACTGTGGTCTGGTAGTTTAGCAAGTTATTACCCAAAATGCCCTGATGCAGTGCATATTATATCTTCTACAGGACTGTAGGAGCGGTGGCACAGTGGTTAGCGCACTGCATGATAAATTCGGCATCTGCCTACAGTTCCATTCCCGGTCACAGCCACCATCAGTGACGAGTGTTATCTGAACCAATCCTGGCTGTCCCCCTTTGCCATCCCTCACTGACCAGTGTGGTGAATAATGGGGGGAAAAAAAAAGACAAAACTGCGCAATAAACACGATGTGGGGAGGCCTTCATCCAGCAGCAGATTGATCACAGCTGTTGTTGGGGAATCAAGAGCAGCAGCGTTACCTGCAGTATGGCCACCTCGTTACGCAGCTGGCTATCCTCGTTGGTGGGGAAGCGAAGCTTGTCGATCACCTTGATGGCCACATCGCGCCCAGTCTTACGGTGCTTCCCTGTGCACACAGACACCACCACACAGCACGGTCATCATCTCACACTGCAGTGTAACCACACAGACACCACCAAACCGCCCGGTCGTCTCACACCGCAATGTAACCACACAGACACCACCAAACCGCGCGGTCGTCTCACACCGCAATGTAACCACCGCCACACATGCCTAGTAGTCCTCGAACGGTTCTTCTCTACCAGCATGCAATGTCCACTTTTACCAAGAGCTAGTACTGGAAACTCTGGCATGTAGCCGTTCACTCCTACACAATTCAATTGTTATGAGTTAAAGTCACTTTAATAAAAAGAAACAATTGATTTTGTCTCATTTGTACTGTCTGTTTCATATTTCACCTGTTCCGTCCGATTTGATTTTTAGAAATCTTAAATAATGAGTTATTATACGGACGATTCAATGCATGCATCGTGAGAATAACAATGTATTAATTGATTACATTATTTCATGCCCACTGATGGAACAGTGTCACAGTGGTTAGCACACTCCATTATAAACCCAATGATCCGAGTTCCATTCCCGGCCACGGCTAATGTCAGTGTATATACCTCCGTGTTAATCGGAGGTGACGGGCAATTATTTGCACTGATCCTGCACCCCCAGCCCCTCTCCCCCTTCATTTGCCTGCACAAACCAGCGTGGTGAAGTATGGCAGTAAGCTACGCGACTGCTGTCAACTATACTTGTACATTGCGGAGTGAGTCTGCGAGTTTGATCAAAGGCAAAGTGTGTGCGACGATGGGCGCAGTTACGGCACGCATGTACCCTCACCTCCATACACCACTCCGAACTGGCCCGAGCCCAGCACCTCGTTGGGGAAGATCTGGTAAATACTGCTGATGTCCTGAAAATGCCACAACGCGCGAAACCAACGTTATACGAGCTCCCGGGAGAAAAAAACTAAAATTAACAACACTTGACAGTTTTCTAAAATTAAGTTTACATAGATTCCTAATTTATTTTTGGGTTAGGCAACATAATGATCTGAACGAGTTTGTATTGCCAAGACTCTCTCCACCACCCAACACAGCCAAACAAATGAATTGTCACATGTACGAGCGTTTAACGTGACAATTAATTATTGTTTAAAATCACCGGCAAGTTAAAGGGCAATTCACACAACTAAATTTAGTCAAGATCTTGGAAGTCAGAATAACAAACCAGGAAGTAAAAAAATAAGGATGTCAGAATTAGCATGTCACAGAATACGGCTTCTCAAATAAGTGTCGTGTTCGGAAACAGGCACCACCAACCAAACAATATTATTGCCAACCTTCCTCTAGCCCTCAGATTCCGAATTCACTGCCGTATTCTCCTGTCATGTGGATATCAAATAGCAGTCTGCACGAGTGTGTACGCTGCTACTCACCACGTTCTCCTGGATCTTGCAGTTGGACATGGAGAAGCTCACGCACACCTCCGCTGCAACAACAAGTAACACCACAACCCTCAATGCCATTGGCCGATCTCAACGCATCGTCCGCTCTTAGTGACGGTGGGGGGGGGGGGGGGGGGGTCGCAGAAGCGTTGAAGAACACAGTTCTAAACAAAACCCAATGACTCTATGCCACTGCCGTGCCAAGATGCCGACATACAGCATTTATGGAAGGAAATAATGGATGCTTCTAATAACGAGTTACCTCACTATTACCTATTTTTATTTTACCAGGTAAGGCCCACTGAGGTATATATATATTTTTTTTCAGAAACGACCTGTCCACAAATTATATCTCATCGAAGTGGCTGATCATGTGGAAATTAATTGCAGCCAAATACTCTGAACGTGTGTTTAAAAATGGAGGGAAAAACCGGAGGACCTTAAAAACATCCAACCGACCATGGGGAGAACACGCAAACTCCAAACAAAAAGGCGTCAAGGTCGGGATTGAACTCACGACCTCCTTCAAAGCAGGCGAGGTATTTCACATCTCTACCGTCCCTTCGCTCACACCCCCCACCCCTTGATACACATCCATTCGTGATGATTGCTGATGACAATTGCTTTAAATTGCCCCAGTGTATCACAACCCTGGGTCCTATGTTCTAACCCCACATTGCCACCACTCGTGCGGCCTGCCCTTCTCCCGACCGGCCGCGACAATCCTAAGCTCCCAGTGCCGCCGCTGACCGTGTGATTTGGCGCCCGTGGCGGAAGAGGCGTTGGCCGTCTGCTGTGGCATGACGGGCATGAGGGCGTGCCGGATGGCCATTTCCCACGCGTGCGCCACCTCGGCGCCGAGGCCCGAGTTGAGCAGGCTGTAGTCGCGGCTCGAGCCACCGCGGCCACCCCCTTCCTTGGGCCGCATCACGGCCTTTGCGTCGCCGTCGGCACCCGACTCCACCTTGGCGGCAAGGCCCAGGTTCTCGCCCACGTAGTATTCCATGGTGGAGGTGATGAGCTCGAAGCAGTGGGGGCGGCTCTGCGGGCCCAGCATGGTGAAGCTGTGGGCAGCCTCCACGCGCAGGACCTCCGACAGTGGGATTTCCTGGTGAAGATCGTGAGCGGGAGAACGGGTCAAGAGGAGACGTCGGCTCAAGTGAACTTTCCCAGGGGTTGCTGCTAGACGCCATCAAAAACCATCCCGCACGTGGTCCTGGTAACAGCCATTTGCGATGATGCGTTTGCCATGTCCTCTGGCATAAACATAATGTTAGTGTGGTGGAGCTGGTGGTGGAGCTGGGTGAGGTGTACAATTATGGTGGCACACCGTGCACCACCGCACACACCGGTTGTGCTTATGTTTCCTCCTGACTCTTATCCTTTCAGCTATCCCATTTAAACATATTCCTTCTTAAGGGAAGGACAATAAGCTTGTAATTAGTAATTTCATTCACATGGCATACGTACAATCTTACAACATTGTTGTATTTGTTTCATCAGCAACACATCACTGCACGCCTCGCGTAAAAACGGCGTGTGCAGCAGAAGCCGAGACTAAAAGCGCGGTACCTTGTAGTACTTGCTGCCCGTGTCCGATTGGAAGAGAGTGATGCACTTGCAGTCCAAGCGCCAATAGTGCCTCTTCCTCTGCAGGAGCAACGCACAAACCAAGTGAGAAAAGAACGTGCGTGTGTGTGCTTGTATGCACGTGAGTGGTAGTGTAGCGGGTAGCGCGCTGCGCTACGAGCTCGGCAACCTGCACCTCTGATTAGCATGGTTGGCTTCGTAAGGGTGCGAAAGAAATTCAACATACGTACATACATTTTACTTTATTATAAGGCGCACCAGACCCAACAAAGGGCTGCAGAGCGCCATACAGAAATAAATAAAACAAATAATAGAAAAAATAATAAAGCTCTGGTTTATCGAACATATCATAGGTAATAATTATGTTTTTTCGTTGCTTTTTAAACGGGAGAATATCTGCTGTCAGGGTGCAGTTCTACAGGCAGAGTGTTCCAAATGTGAGAGCCAAGGACCGCAAAAGCTCGAACTCCAAAACTTTTTGGCGTAAGCGTGGCTGACAGAGGAGCCCGGTCACGTGCGAGGACCTCAAACTCTTAGAAGTATTGTAAAGCTGCAGTTTATCGGTGATCTATTAAAGCAATCGCTGAAAGAGTGCTTTGTGCATTAAGCACAGAAATGTATATCGTGCTGCTGCTGCTGTGGTTTTCGTGGTTCCTGCTGCGTGTGCGGCTCTCACGAGGTTGTCCTTGTTGGTGAAGTGAACCATCCAACCCTCGCGCAGCACGGTGCTTGATCGCCGTTTCGTCTGTCGCACCGACTGAATCACGCGCATCAGCGGGATGTTGCTTGCAGTTTGCCTTTTGGAGTGCACACGCACATACACAGACACAGGCACACAAACAAGCCGAGGATGGAAGAGTTAACACGAGAGAAGGCCCCATCCTCGTTTTGCTTCGTCCCTTTAACTCGGGCGTCCGCCCTCACACGGCAACAGGTTCCGCACGTCTCACCCGATTGGGCGGTCAGGGAACATGTCCGGGTCGGCGTCTTCTGGCATGTCGACGTCGCCCTGCGGGTCGGGCTCGCTGCTCCTCCCGCTGCCGTCGTCGCTGTTCTCCTCCATCACCACGTCGCTCTCTCCTACCCGGCGCACGCGACAAGCACACGCGCCCAATCGCAGGTGCGTGGGTTAGCACCTATCCACGAGCGGGCAAGATCATTACGAGCTCCGGATTGCAGCAGGGGCCACTGCACGATTGAACTATGTGATTTGAAGTTGTTGTGACTGCAAGGATCTATACTCTTTGGTTCTTTCGGTAAAGCCACGTAGGTAGAAAAAGAAATAAGTCATATTATTATTGTGATTTTTTTTTTTTATACCTACGTGACTTTACCGAAAGAACCAAAGAGTATGAACTATGCGACCCGAGTTGAATCAGTGGCAGGTGACATGCAAACAAGTCCTTGGCGTCACTTTACCAACCAGATTGTTTAAATAAATAATCATAATAATTTACATCCCTTTGTCAATCCACTGCTGGATGAAGGCCTCCCCACGCTGTGTCGGGTCATGGGAGCTGTTTGACAATTCTCCAACATGCAGGTCACTGCGGGATGGTGAAGTAGGGGGATTGGGACCGGTACAGATATCACTTGCCATTGACGTTGGCCATGGCCAGGAATCTAACTCGGGTCACTGGATTCAAAGCACAGTGCGCACTAACCCGCTGAACAAACAGTCCACTACAAAATGTTAAAGGCCTCATTCATTCACAACTGAAGCGCATTTGAGAATGTGAAGAATATTTACAAGAGGACTTCGCATAGAGCAGGACCTACCTCCGTTGAAAAGTGTTTCGCCAATGCACTCCTTGGGCACCTTGGCGGCACAGCGATTGTGACAGTTAAACTTGCAGTCTGTGGGGACACGGTCACAATGCATCACGCACTTAACACAGCAGCGACAGAGGAGGTGTGCGACACACACATCCACCACGAATAAAGACGAAGCATTAGCTTTGCTCATGAACTACATTCAAACTGGTTTGAGTCTATAAACATGCAGTAAAACCTTGGATGGCGAGTAACTTGGTCTGCGAGTGTTTTGCAAGACGAGCAATTTTTTTTAAATAAATATTAATTTCATAAACGAGTGAGGTCTTGCAATACGAGTAGTACGTATACACTTTGTCTGACGAGCGTCACGCGATCACAACTGATATACGAGTGCTTGGGATTACAAACACGTTTCCGGAACGAATTATGTTCGCAATCCAAGGTTTTACTGTATGTTCTTGACTTGCTGTGTTTCTTCCATGTGAAATGAAAACAGGACAATGGGCACAGATCCAACCGCTTAGTGGCCACTAGCAGCTCAAGTAGAAAGTTTCACTCACCTGTCATTTACAAAAATACAAGTTCAGGGGTAAAAAAAAACACATCAGACCAAATGTGTTTTATGCAACTTGTCACTTGTATTGATGACACTGTGGCACAAGAGACACCGGTGTACACAAACCTCACTCACTCACGGGCAGTCATACGTCTCCTTATCACGCCTCTATTGCTGCTGCCATGGTTACTCCTCCCGTGAAATTCACTCATCGATTCCTCCACCTGTGTTGTTGAGGACTTGGCCCACCGGACTGACCGTTTCGTCTAAACCACACACCGCGTACAACTACCACACTGCAGGTCACCTCACCTCCCTTTCCGATTGGTCCCTCACACTTGCTCCCACTTTGGAATTCCTTCCCATCGTCTATTCTCTAAAACTCTCACAACAACCTTGCTCGACTCAATCAACGTGTGAACTATTATCTCTTGCAACTTTGACGGTGCTATTTTGTTGCTGATCCCTATTGCGTTATGTGCCTTTGGGCGCACCTGGGTCTGCCCCGTGACCTCCTGTCAGCGGGCGTTCGACACTTCCCGTGGCCTCAAAGTGCACATCGCCTGGGCACAAGTACTGTGGTGACATCACCGCCATTTAAGTGGCGGCTGTTGTTGTTGTTGTTACACGTACCCCTGCATTGCAGCCCCTGGCGGAAGATGCCTTTGAGCAGGCGACGGCAGTGCTGGCACATGGTGGGGAGCTTGTAGGAGTGGGTGACGAACGTGTGCGGCACCTTCACCTTGCCTGCCACGGCGCGGTCCACCCACACGGGGCGTCCGCTCCACGAGGCCGTGCGCTTGTCGCGCCACGCCAGCGGCATGCTGTCCGAGCGCTGTCAGGGCAAGGTGGGAGAGCGAAGCCGGGGCGGGGTGAGGGGGCAGCCGCACATGGTGTCACGGCGTTTCGTACACGGACAATCCTGGCAAGATCTCTGCGCGCATTAGTTCGTGGGTTTCTGCATGAGATTGTTGCCGGGATTTGTTGTGGCGTTTGTACATTTTGGGTTGATAAATAGCGAGTTTATTTATCGATAACGCTGGTGGCGGGTTGATGAAGTGGGAAGGGAGGGGCCGGTTCAGATATTGTTAGTCGCTGATGTTAGCCGTGGCTGGCAAATCGAATTTAGGATGCTCACTCCTCATGCAGTTTGTGAATATTTTTGTAACTGGTCTACCCCATACTTCAGGATATCGACAAGAACTGTTTACCTTTTAATGTACCAACATACATAATTATGAGTAATTGTTTTTACACAAGGCCCAGGGTGTGATGACAAAATCGATGTCAGGAGCCACATTAGACACAGTTTACCTATCGTACATGGTGGATGAAAGGCAGCTGACGGCTCTCTGTTATTGTTGTCTATCACTGCATGACTGCTGCTTTCAATTGGTCGCATTTGCTCAAATGTATTTTGATGGTGATCTAAGACAAGAGAATCACAATGCACTTCTTCCATAATTGCCGATGGATTTTTGCATAATCCACCCAGGCATTGTGCCCTACACACATTTTTGCATCCTTTTTGAAACATACAACTGACTGCTGTCGAATATTTACGTACATTTCAGCATTCTTAAGCAGCGCCCAGAGTCGCAATCCTCACGTGCGTGACAAGTCAACTGTCTCACGCGGCCCCTGGATTCCTGTGTGTCGCTGCAGAGTTTCAGGGCCATTTAGGGCAACTTCTTGGGGGCTGAGAGCCGTGGGGCAAAATCCCAGATGAGGCCCCCTAATCCTCAAGCTAAGCTAACCCACTTGCCCCCAATCTCTACCACCCTGGGGCCATTCATAAAGTTGAAATTGAGGACCCCTGATTTTATAAATATCATCATGTTCGAATACTGCAGAACAAAGTTGAGATTTTTTGGGGTTATTTGTGCTTGTGCACCACTACCAACGCTGTAACACCGCATAATTAGTTTAACACGAACAAGCTGGTCACTACTAGTCAACAGCAACAGCAGAGAGAAGCGGTGAGGCCTGATCGACAAAGAAGCCGAGACTTGGGAGTGAAAAGCTGATGCCATCATCACCTCTGTCCACTAGAGGGAAACCACGCATCATTCGCACAGTCGCCTGGCCACTTCGAGTTGTATAACCCAATCGGACATGATCCGTGGTGACATCGTCAACCATGGCAATGTGTCCTGCCGTTGGTGATGGGGTCAAAGACACTCTATTTTTCCCCGACACAAACGGGGCCAACATGAATTTTAGTCACAATGTCAATCTGACCAAAAACGCCGTTGAAAGATAACACAGTGTGTGCGTGTGCAAATGTGTTTGTGCTGCATAAGTGAAGTAGAGCTTACCCATGAAACAGAGAGCCTGAGGAGAGTGTGAGCAGCCAGGTAAAGAGCAACGCAAGGGGAGTGAGAGGGGGGGTAGAAGACGTCTGAGATGGAGAGAAAGAAAGAAAAATGGAGAGGAGAGAGATTCACCAGACAAAGATGTGAGAAAAGCGAGACGCATCCAAGTTGCATGAAAGTTGTGTTTATGTTATATTACACTGAGCATGTTATATTACACTGAGCATGTTATATTACACTGAGCATGTTATATTACACTGGGTACGATTTAATTTTTTTCTGCGTCATTTGTTGGGCATCTGGGTCGCGGAAAATGCTCCTCGTCAAACTTTTGAAAGGAACACATATGAACGATACATTTCTGAGTGTGCACAGAAGGCGGGCTTGCCGCCCTTCACCACTGACGGCTCGGAGCCTCACGCCTAGGCCTCAGGCACAGGAGGCACAACATAGCTCAAAAATGCAAGCATCTATCATTAGCAACCCCTGATTAAAAGTCGAGGGATGGAACAAGTGGGCATCGTTTTCGTTAAAAGCGCTGACAAGCATGCCCACCCTCCAGAATTGACTCAAGGCGTTCATGTTCGCACACCACATTCTCTAAGCCAAAAAACATAAACAAACACACCCCTTCGGTCCCTCAAAACTGTCAATAGCTTGGATGGTATTTAGAGTAAAAAAAACACATCCATATGAGTTTGAAAAAAAAACATTTATCACAATTTCTCTGACAGGGGAGGAGACAGCCTTTTGTAGCAAGCCTCCGCTCCCACACCCACACGACTGCGTTGAAATCAGCAAAAAGAGCGAGCTTTGGCATTTCACTTTAAAAGTAAGCTTCGAGCAACTGCGAGAGGGGAAAAAAATAGTTAAACCTTTATATTCGCAGCGTTCCAAGCTTGAGTAGAAACAGACACAAGCACAGAAAGGGTGGTGGTTTGCACTCCCATATGTTGGAAAAGACCATGACACATTTTTCTGCACAACTGTGATCGCGTAGCTAGAGGCAACGGAAAAATGACGGAGTTGTGTCTCGTCAACGCAATTTATTTTATTTAATAGTGTGTTTTCATAATCTAGGTTTTTTTTGTTAAATTAATAGTGTGTTTTATCATCAATGCTTGGTCTAACAGAGCACACAACCTCCACTATGTGACCTCTGTCTGCGATCCAAATGGAAGTTACAACCCCAGTTACACCTAGTGGGAGCAGCAATTAGACGTATCCACATGTGGGCAACTGCATTCTTTTTTTTTTACTTACAATAGAAAGCGGATGCAAAAACTGTTGCTGTCGACGACTGCACTAAAATGACCATAGTGGTACTAAAGGTGTTATTGGTGCGGGCCAGGTCACACTCTGGGAGACGCCAAACAAAAGAGACACCTCGCTTTGGCCGAGCAAGGATGGTGGCGCGTGTCGGGTGGCGCGTGTCGAGCATCGCTCACCAGGGAGCACGAGTCGTCGGAGCTTCCTGTCGAGTGCGTGGACTGCCGTCGCTTGCGCATGCCGCTGCAGTTGTTGGGGATCTTGAACGCGCAGCGCTTGTGGTAGTTGAGTCCACAGCCTTCACACAAAGTGCACGCCATAGCCACGCACAAAGACAAAGATCCCCCGCATAGCCTTTAACAGACTGTTGGGAAAAGTGATTTTAGCGAGCACCTATGAAGGCCGGCATGGTGCACGAGGGGGTGGGTGTCCAGCACCACCCCTGACCATCTTTGTCTCCCCAGTAGCGATATTTTTACACATCGCATAGGTCCTCATTTTAATCTGAGTCGACCTAGGGGAGGCCCAAGACCGATTCAGATAATCGTGACTGGTGTTGGCCGTGAGTGGGAATACAACTCCAGTCCTCGGGTTCGTAGCGCAGCGCGCTAACCGCTACACTACCACTCCCCACAGCCACACACAGAAAGACGAGCACACACACGCACGCACATGACAACATTTCACCTGTATCACTATTAGCAGACTTTTGGAGCACTATTAGCGAGCACCTATGAAGGCACCAAAACCGGCCAACCTTTGCCTCCCTAGCGCGAATGTTCACACATTGCAATAGGTGCTTATTTTCGGCCAAGTTGAACCATGGAAACACTGATGTTATCCATGGCCAGGAGTCAAACCCAGGCAGTCGAGTTCATAGCACAAAGCGTAATCTATTGCAGCGCAACCACGCAACAATTAGCGCTTTAGCCAGAGCAGCAAATTGGTGAGTCAAATGGTAGAACTTTAGTTGTACCCATTACGGAAAGTATTTTGTGACAGAGGTGAAACAATACATTGATTCATAAATTAATATCAATGTTAAAGCACACCATACATGCATTGGAATGTGTGTAAAAACTGATTTTGTGGTCGGGGGGGGGGGAGTGATCTCTATTATAAATTCACTCAATACTCAAAACCTTTTGTGAATGTGGGAAAAAGTGGTAGTGTCGTGGTTATTACACTGCACTACGAATCCCAGCTATGTGAATTTTGATTTCAGGCAAAGGTTAACATCAATGGCAAGTGATATCTATACCGATCCTGGCTCCCACACTCCAACACGTATTTACCAGCATGGTGAATTATAAACAATCCCTATAGCTAACATGGTGCGAGGAGGCCTTCAAAGGGCTGAATGTTCACACGACAAAGCACCGATGCACCCTGTGCCTGACACCGCTGCACACGACCGTGAGTTTGAGCTCACTACATGGGTCCATTTCACACGCAGGAGTGGAAGGCAGGGGGGGAAAAAATGTAGTTCAAGTCTGAGTGAATCACCGTGACCGGCGATAATTACCTCCGGCCAGGCAGGTTGGGGGCCAAGGACAGTTTTTACTTCACATTGTTTTGCCTGCGCCACCAGATGTGGCGAGAGAACTTTTTCATGGACTGGCGACAGACACTTGACGTCCGTCGCCAGTCATCCGAAGTGCCACCACATCGCCCTCCTTTCCTTTGCTGCTGCTTATAATATCCAATAGCAAGTCCTTGCAATTGCACCGAATGTATGCTACAAGAAAGGACAACCACATGGCTGACGTCTGAAACATTTAGTCTGACAAAAGGCAACTGAAAAAAACATTACTAACGTGAATATGGTTGTGCCGAGGCGAACACCACAACAGCTCGGTATAAAATCTCGTAACTTAAAATGCAGCTCAAATCGAAACCCGCGACGAGAATGATCGTGACAAAACAAGAATCCCACGGGTGTTCCCAGCCGCTACGACTGGACCCTGCGGGCATTGCGTGGGAGTTCCAAGGATCGCGTGCGTTTGAGCGTGCGTGCGTGCTACCTAAACGCACGCTGTCAATGTGACTCATTCGAGTTGGGAGATGTGCAGAGGTTCTCATCCCAAGGCATCTCCCCAAACAAATGGTGACGTGAAGTGAGAGCAGATCTCAGCATGCCTCCTGACACATGTTGCAGCGACAACACAACCTCGCTATGAGGAAGCCGCAAGAGCTATGCACTTTTAAAATTGAAAACAAATTTATTTAGAACTGCTTTTGTTTGGTTCAGTCGTCCTTGACCCGCACCTCTGAAAAGTACAGTTGCCTACATACAGCGTGAAATAAGTTCAACGTACATGCAACTTTGTCTGGGCTTTAACGTTTCACTGCCTTGTCGAGCACATCCTGGCAAAATGTCTTAAGCAAAATGTCTCGTCAAATATTCGGGTGAATAACGTGTCTTGGCAACAATCTTAATGAAGCCAACGGTAACGTAATCAAGTGAAGGGTATGCAGATTCATTATTTTACTTTGCAAAAGTAAAATTTAGAAAACATTTTTGTAAGTTAGATGTGCAATTCAATATTCTGAACCTGATGGGTAATGCAACAAAATGGGCTGTTCTTGCAAAGGGCATCCAACAGCCCTTAAAATCCACTCAGTGTAGACTACTCATTTTGTTTCATTCCTGTATGGAAATTACCAGGCGCAGTCAACAGTTGAGCCACTTAGAGATTTTGCAATCTCTAAGTGTTAAACAAAGCACCTTATTTGCTTCTTTTGCAACACGTTTGCAAAACAACGAGGCATTAAAATCAATCACGGACTCATGTCTACGTATAACAAAGTCGAGGTATGGAGGGCCGACCGGCTACCCTCAGCTGCACCGTGAGCAGGTTCCTTGGGCCTCACCCTCGCACTTGAGGCCCTGCCGCACAAGGCCAAACAGCATCTCCCCACAGTGGTCGCAGAACGTGGGCGACTTGTACGAGTGCACGAAGAGAGCATGCTGCCGGATCTGGATGTCCTCCAAAGTCGCCGATCCTGCCAGGAGGGGGTGGGGTGAGGTGGGGAGAACACGAGGGTAGAGCGAGAGGTGGATGAGGGGATGAGAGGGCAGGTGGAGGGGGTGAGCACTTTACAGCGGCTGGCATCCCTGGTGTGCAATCACCACCACCACCAAAAGGTGTCATTTTAAGTCCAGTAATTATAAGGGGGGGGTGGTATAAATTGTTTAAACTGCTTAAATACAGGTGGGGCGGGGTTTTTCTACAGACACTGCCTTCCAGGAATAAGTGAGTGATTTGTGCAGCTGGCTTCAAAATTGCGCCGCACATAAAGACACAATTAGCACACAATGAGGCTTTATTTAGACCTGGTCGACAATGCGCACTTCAAGCAACGAGGCAGGCTTTCTGCCTTGGTCATTGAGACAACGCTAAAGCAGACACTTAATGAGTGCTGGCTTGGTGGCACGACTATCAGGCGCTCGCTGCTGCGGCGTCATCCTCATACATTCATGCAATCTACCAGGGTCAACGAAACGGTACGCACACGGCACAACCAGAGCTGTCACCCCCGTGCCCAGGATCGTCCTCCTTCTGAGGCAGCGGTCCCAGGAAACCTGTAAGTCTCTCCGGGGCATTACAATCAACTTTTTTTTTGTCAGCGACAGAATAAGATATTCGTCTCCCACGATATGCCCTGATTCTATTGTATCCTCGTAGGTCGCAACCCTCGATGCAGCATCCCGACTGGAAGGAGGGGGCTCTACAGCAGTGGTGGTAGTGGGGGGCCAGCCATGTTTGAACGACGACCGACGACGGGGCAACCAGTGTTGTGGTGCACGGGAAGCGGTGAGGCTCGGGTGGGACCGGCACGCCTAGACATGCCCGGCTCCCAGCCCGGCTACGCTAGGCCTCCCCTTGGGCGTTCTCTCACGCTCAGAGCCACCCACAATTACACTAAATTCTCGAGCTGCTGTAGCAGGGGGATTCGAATTGACAACAACAACCGGACACTCTTGCCGGTGCACATGCCACCCGCAAACTAGAAAACTTACGAAAGGTCCCCTGTTTGGCCTTATAGACTGTTGTGGCAAGTACTGTTATAATGAGCACCAATTAAGAAAGGAAAGGCATATGCTGTCTTGGTGTGGCAGGGGACATTCCTGGCCAGCTCCCTTTTGTTTCTTCGGCATCAATGCCAACACATTACACCTGGTACGTAACTCATTTAAGGCTGAGTTGACTTAGTAGAGGGACAGGACAGGTTTGTTTTCCAAATTCCAAGAGTGTTATGCATGGCCAATATCAAGGTGCAGTTGGCTCCATTCCAAAGGGAAAAGCACACAGATTATTTTACTTTTGTGACAACTTTATTTCAGCTGTGCACACGAGCGAGACACGAGTGATGAAAGTTAACAACCCCTAGGCGCAAGCACTCACGGGGCACAACCCTTTAATACAAACTCACGGATCAACACCGGGACTATAAAATTTTTCCTAAACATACAGTATCATGTCATTGAAAACTCTGCATACACTAAAGTTAACCGCCACAACGAGCCGTTTCAATATTTGAATATATGGGTCTACAGAAGAACTGTAAAAATTAACCTCGACACCGAAATGAACGGCTAAAACGTGCTGTATTATTGTTGCCAACACCACCTCTCTATGGGTGACAGTGGCATGGTTGTGAGTGGCAGCAGCTGCCGCGTTGACACAGCCTAAATAAATACAAAATAGAGACACTTTAAAACCAATCCTGGTGACATTTTTACAGCCAATTTCCCACAGCCATCAAGAATGAAAATGCACGAGTTGGCACAACGTCGATAGCGTTATTTACTTTTGACGCAAATCCGCACAAAGCCAAGCAGGCGGTGAAGTCGCAGATTTCTGGCCGGGATTTACCCGAGAATGTTTTCTGGTAAGTCTGTGGCACCGTCGTTCTTGGCGGCATCCATTGATACGGTCACGTCGCTCGCAATCACGAAAGTGGCCGTACCCCCCCCCACCCCCTCTGGGGATTGACTGTAAAATCAGAGCTCACTGAGCAGAGACACCAGCCTAGGCCCACACCGCAGCCGGCAGCCAAGTTCGGCCACAGCACTGTGCAATTTGGCAATTTGTTTACTAAATATTTATCAACACAAACGGTATCACACATCTGCTGTTCTTGTGTTTAGGATGTAATGTGATGATCTGATTCGATACTGGGCTTCCTCCGAAGTCGACCCAGGCTTAATATGGTAACTTGCTGACCCGCCCATACTGGAAATCTGTGAAAAAGAGCTTCATTGCTCATCGGATCCCTCTAGTCTAAAGAAAGATTATGATTCTGCTTACGATTATACGTTGATTTGTCTTTTTTAAATCCCAGCTGTACATTTTCACGTTTTAATTAACAGCTTATATTTTGTAATGCCGCACTATTATGCATACACAGTAACTTTCCACTGTTTTGCACGCCAATTCCTAGGTCCCTGGATCCTAGCACATGCGTTTCTCATCTCCTTATTGCTCCTCACATCTCCCTCGCAAGGCAGGAGCCAGAGGGCAACGGTGTGAATCTCCACGAGCAGCGCACGAGGAGACCGGAAGCACGTGAAGATCGAGAAACAAAAAAATATGTACACATACAGTATTCGCCGAAACTGCGTTGGCAGTGGTGCACAAGCACAAATAACAAACAAAAACCCAAGCACGTTCGTCAACAAGAGAGGTCACCTCTCTGTGCTATGAAGAAGGGCCACTGCTCAAAATGTTGCATATTGGATACTTAGTAATAATAATTAAAGGCACATTTTCTTTGTCCCAGCACCATAGTTCAGAGCAAATGTCAGAATCTTTATCTTTATTCATTTTTTCACAATCAGAATCTTTATTTATATTGGAGGAATCAGATGAGCTATTAAGCTCTTTTTTCACAGATGTCCAGTAGATGTCACGAGGCCTATGGCGATGCTCGAGCGTAGTGATGGGATGGATCGAAGGTCCCCTGGCAGAGCATTTCCAGCCCAATGGAGAGACAACGCGAAACGCCCTGCCGGCCACTACGGTTCTAGGAGCAGTGGTGTGGGTGAATGCGTTCGCGTGCGCGTGCGCGAGCGTACGATCTTGCCGCTTCGAACGCATGACGGCGTTCGGGCGGCCCACGTCATGTACGTCGCTTGGCGAGGGAACGATTGGGCACCGCGATCGGCGCGCTCCCGATTCGCGCACGGCGTCACGCCGCTCACGTTACCCGCCGCCGTTTAGTGTTCCCGTGCACTGTATGGGAGTAGCATTGCTTCGTCAGCCGAGGTGGGGGGGAGGTGGGGGGGCCGTGAAAATTTACGACGAAGCTGACAAACGTAGCCCGGCGACTCGCCGGACGTTGTGGCCATGGTATGGGTGGCACCGTCACTACTTTGCGCGTTTAGCATTTTCGTACGTCTGCAACATTGCAGACGTACGTAAATGCGTCAATGTTCAACACTGTTTTACAGGATGCTCTTGACTTTGTCGTCTGTACTCTATTATTATGATGATTATCATTGTGCTCGTTTTACCCAGGTAAGCCTCACTGAGTCTCACAATTCTTTTTTCCGGCGGGTCCTGCCAAGGTGACAATTGAGCAATTCAAAGTTTCCAATTTGCGTTGTGTATTTTGTTGTAACATTGCAATGCATAATGCACCAAGTTAACAGTAATTTGCACAATTTTTCATGTTTATTCTTGGTACCGGTACATGAGCGGGGCGCGAAAATGGTGGGGGGGGGGGGGGGCAAGGCAGAGGAAATGGTGAAGCATTCGTTTCAAACGGGTCAACTCGCTGGCGTCATCACAAACAGTGACGAGTGGCAAAGTTGTGTCTGCGAAGCGAACAACCGCTAGCTCAATGGTCAACGGTGAGAAGCGGTCTCTTCTGTGTGGAGGAACTGTAGCCAAGAGGATAGGACTCGTGGCAGGCTTAGTTTAACATATGAATGAAGTGGCAGCTTTGAACCCTTGCCTCGGATTACATGGGGTTTGTTTTACCCACGCCCTTGGCTTCAGCACCTGTCCACCGAGTGACACTGTTTCTAATGTATGTAATCTATAGTGGATTCCACTTAAAATGTGGTCTGGTTAACTGTAAAACCCATGTCTTCATAGAGATATGCGATTTTTCACTGGCAATTTCTCCGTATCTGGCCGTGACCAAACGGTGACATGCTGACTTCCCAACGCATACGAATCTACCCTCGGAGCTAAGCAGGACCAGGGATGGAGCTAACGTGTTCAATGCGTCTGTCGGTACACCGAGGGCACCGTGTCACCGCGTCACCTACACGCATTTCGACGTCACACATTGCATGCGATGTCATCGGCACGGTTCGGATTCTGTCGTGGAAAAACAACTTCACACCTCCTGATCCCTGGGCAGCCTAGCCTGGCATGGCCCTGGTGCGGTTCAGATGTGCCAGTGAAAGCAGGGTGTAAGACAAAGGCTAACTTACCCACTCGGACCGTATATAAACCAGGATGAGCGAGAGAGACTTACTGGACAGGACCACCTCGATGAGGTCGCCCTCCTTGACGCTCTCCGCCGACGTTAGCAGCTGCAGGACGTTCTCAGACTGCGGGTCATGGCGGAAGAGCAGGATCTTCTCGTACATGCCGTAGAAGCCGCACTCCGGGAACTACGGCACAGACGCACGGAGACATTCGCACTCGCGATCAAAAAAACATCCCACACTCATTGCCATGGCTGAGGCCAGAAAGGGGGCCTTGAATTGACAAAATGTCGACTTGGTGGCTTGGGCCCATTATCTTGAAGCCAGCCAGCCCCTTTAGTTTTGTGTTGTATATATGAAATCTCAAAAATCCATATCAACACTGTTTCTACAAACTCACACGTGCATGCCCATACACATATATATGCATTACAAGCATGACTCATACTTATAGACATTACTCATACCTGTCTGCATTTGTCGTATGAGCCAACATGATGTGACAACCAACAATCAAATCGTGTTTGAGGTTTTACTAACTGTTGGGTGAAGGCTCCCGCACGCCATGTTGGTCATAGCAGTTGTTTGGCCATACTTCGCCATTTAGGTGAATGCGGATTGGTGAAGAGGGTGGAGCCCAGGACCGGTTGAGATATCATCTGCCACTGGCAGGAGCCATGAACGGTAAACTTGGGTCACTGGGTTTCGTAGCATAGTTCATCAACCACTGCGCGTCACCACCTCTGCATCATTTGTAAAAATAATTATATATAGCCCTTTGTAAATCTACTGCTGGATGAAGGCCTCCCCAGCCTAATTTCAGTTGCCATCATTCTTACCAGAAGTCAAACCCTTAAGTTATTTGAATGATACAAAATGTCAAAAACGATTAACACGGTGCCATCGAACATGTGTCAAGACACCCAGCAATGTTTAATTTCACAAAATGCAACTTTTGTATTGCGGGAAAAACAGGTAAATTATAAAATAAGCACAAGGATGGAAATTGATCCACTCCGACTTGCATTACATGTACCGTCCCTGAAGGGCATCACAACGAACACTTCGTCTGTTTGTTATCGCGTGCTGCCCAACATGTGCTACAAACACAAAAACCAAAACACACGCTCTTCCCGTATACATTTCCGAAAGCAGGCGCTCTCCTAAATGCTCCGTTAGAAATGAGGGCATTGCCGCAGGGACAGATAGCAAAGCCTCGCAAACACCAGCAATAAAATAAAGGTGGCGAAGAATGTTTTGTACATCGACGTTTTTTCAAAAGACAAAAAAAAGGCTCTGCAGCATGCGAAAAGGGTTCGTGATTTAACATCCTCGCTCAATAGCGCAGAGATAAATTAGTAACACGACAATGTCAAAGCCCCCACGTGCTCCGAGCCAGTGAAAATGGCAATGAGGTGTTTGAGTCTGGCGGATCTCACTGACGACAGACACAGCCAACGGTCACTCGAGCAGCAGACCCAAAGCAGGAGCAATGAGCCTGAGAGGACATTGCCAAAACGATGTGTTTGTACATGGCCGCTCCATCGCTGGCCACGATAATCCGCGGCCACGTCGCACTGCGCACTGGCCTGGGGCCCGAGCTGAAGATTGTGTTGTTTAAGCCAAAAAGGGAGAGAGAAAAAAAAGTTCCGCTTTGCACTCAATCGACGATCTGTGAGCCTTCAGAGAATTTCGACATTACCTGTGCGCTAGAGGGAAGGGCTTTTTTTTTTTAAACAGCCCCCATACAAAAACGCTTTCAGTTTTCAGAGGCGTTAAAGTGCCTAAAACCCAGTGGGACAGTTTTTGTTGGCCGAGAAACGCTCCTGCTGGCTCCAGAGCTGGCAGGGTGCAAGTAGCAACGGGGCTGGGGCGCGCAGCCAGTATATGGGGGAGTAGTGGAATTGGGGGAAGAGAGGTCAGGAAATTGCCAAAGATGTGGAGAAATACAACTAAAAAGAGACTGATGATTGTCAAGGGAGCAAACACTTCGTTATCACAAGGGCAGGGAGTGTTTCTTTCTTTCCATGCAGTGAGATGCACGGATAAACCCAAGTCCTCAATTATTGCCAGTTCTTTGTGCCAAAACTCTGCTAAACACAGTGCCATAGCTTGTCAAACAGTGTTTTTTTTATATATATATTATTAATTCTAAGATTATTTATTAAAATACACTGCCTTAACCCAAACATCACATTCACCATTTTACAGGATTCAAGCAAACTTTGCTTCGTGAACGAAGAAGAAAAACAATGCTCCTACTGTATGTATACAAGAGCCACACACTCCAATGGTTGATTAAATTAATATTAGCAATGGCATTATGAACCTAGTCAAACCAGTCGGGACAGCCCCACTGTTCACCACAGCTCTAATACCACGTTTCCATGGCCACTGGGAACCAGGCTCGGCTGGCCCAGGCGCGGCCCAGGGGCAGGCCAGGGGCAGGCCAGGGGCAGCCCCGGGGCAGGCCAGGGGCAGGCCAGGGGCAGCCCCGGGGCAGGCCAGGGGCAGCCCAAGGGTGGCCCAGGGGTGGCCCAGGCTCGCCTCTGAAAGCCCTGCCAGGCATGATGGTTGGGGAAGAAACCTTTAAATGTTTATAGATTTTAAAAACTTCAACGTAGGCATACACCATATTAAGTTAAACTTTTTCCAGCATTATCATTCGTCGGGCGTGTTTGTAACGCCAGCACGCCAAGAACGTTCGCGACTAAGCGAGTGACGGCACTGCGCGTGGAGTTTCCTTCGCGTGCAGATCCCCATTACGGTGCAACTGGCTGCGGAGTCGCCCCAGATAGAGCGTGTCACGCGGTCATCGTGCTGCGCTCGCACGAGTCGGGGAGTCGAACTGGACTGGGGTCCACGCGGTGCCTGGAACGAGCCAGCCCAGTTCAAGCGCTGGATCAACGCAGTTCCACCGGGACGAGGCACGTGCCACGAGCTCACACCCGGCACCATCGCCACCATCATCACGGCGCAGTGGCCAATGTGTATTCACGGCATTCTTCAAATACCACGCACAAAATCAGAAGATTTCAAGGCCGCTTCCCGCAGCCACCACACTGCATAATTATAGGGTGGAAGCACGTGCAGCCGGGCGGTCAACGCGTGGAGCAGCCGTGGGAATTTGCGTTAGGAAAGAGAAGCAACTGCACCTGGGGGCGGGGGGGGGGCCCACCGCCATCGCCCGGCCACCGAGACGCAGCTGCAATCGTTCGTCTCCCCCTTCTGCCATGCGCTTCTACAGCGTGGCAGCAGCGTGGCCCCTGCATGGCGTTTAACGGAGCCCGGGTGTCCCCCGTGTGTCTCTCTCAGCGTCATCTCACGGGAGTGTTATTGCAACGCTACGTGTAGATGGAGTAAGGGTGGTGTGGCGGGGGGGTGTTACAGAGAGGAGTTGTACAAGGACGGATAGAGAAATGCAGAGAGAGCTATGTAATAATAAACACACAAAGACACGTGGAAAGAGGCAGAGTGAAAGATCGACACAGAGCGATAGAAACACAGAGACACATGCAGAGAGACGTGGGAAGAGAGAGAGAGACAGGAAGCAATGCACGGAGGGACAATGGAGACAAAGTGGGAGGTAGAAAAAAAAAAGAGACGGACACAAAAACAGAACTCCCTCATTGTCCCCCCCCCCAACCCCTCCACTTGCACGCCCCAGTAAAGAGTTGAGAGAGTCTCACAGTCTCCGATGTCCGACTTCGTGATCGCCCCTGCATATCTATGGAGCTCGCGAAGTTGTGAGACAATGGGCACAGGACATCTCCGAAACAACACCGCAAATCTGGAATCTGTGAAATCTCAATGAGCTGCAGCAGCGGCGCACAATCAACGGGATTGAGAGTTCAAATCAGGGCGAGAGCAGGAGGAGGAGGAGGGGTCAAGTTGGCCACGTCCACTAAACCTGAATTGGGCAGCGGGGGGGGGGGGGTAACTTTCCATTGTTTTAAAATTCGAATGAGCAACTTGGAACAACCCTCGACAAACAGACGCTACTTATTTAGACAAAGGTTCTACCTCTGTTTATGCTCTCGCTTCCAAAACCGCCCTGCCGTGTAAACAATCGTAAACACGCGACAGCAAGCCACTAACGGAGCCGTCTAAGCCCTCTCCAAACAATGTCCATCGTGAACGCGCATCAAAGCGCAGCGCAGGTCACCGCTGGCGACATCAGATCAGCCAGGCGTGGCCGCGTCGTGCGTGTGTGTGTTACAGGGGGGGGGGCAACAAGGAGACAAGTGTTTTACTGTGCTTGGAAGCAGCAGCGCTGCTTCTCTCTCTGTTCATCCCTAAATCACAGCCTCTTTGGCAAAAGAGATCAACTCGCCGGGCGGGAGCGGTTGCGTTGTTTAGGAGTTATTTGTTTAGGGGGAGGGGCGGATGGGTCAAAGAGTGCGTGATTAGCCAGCGTTCCAACTTCATCTGAAGTTGTTTAAGAGCAAATGGAAAAAAAAAGTTACGTAAAATATAAAAAACAATAATTATGGTCGCGTTCAAAAGGGCGTTCGCCGTCGTAAATACCACAACAACGATAGCGACAACGCTGCGTCTGATGAAGAGCGCGATTTCAGGACAAAGGCCTCTCAGAAAGTGCTCAACGATCCGTAAACAGTGCCAGTGACTCGCATCAAGACGAAGAGGATAAATACAATCGAGCATTGGGGGAGCCCAATTCCTAGCTGACGAATTAGAAGCGAAGAAGAACGTGGGGGGCGATGGGGGGCGACGAACATGGCGATGAATCCCAACGGAAACGGGAGGAGAGGGGAGAAGTGCTACCGAGGAGGCATCTCCATTCCTCGTATGTATGGGGAACTTCTTTCGCACCGTACTTAGCCAACCCGTGCTAATCGGAGGTTCCCGAGCGCAACCTCACACCATCCTCAAGGGAATAACTCCAACAATGATTCTTTAAGTCTTAAAAAGTCTTAAAGTCACTTTATTGTCAAGTGTGTTACATGCATGACATACAACACAGATAAAATTACAGTCCTCTCTCTTGGTCCCACGGTGCAACCAAGCAATTAAAAAATTAATCACAATTAACAGACATAAATAAACATTACAGCAAGTGCGCTCAATCAGGGTGTTTGCAGTGTAATCTTGGCACTGTGCGTACACGCACACGGTGACTTGCGCTAACTATATACACGATTACACTGGTAGGAACCTCCTGGTGA